TTCATCAACGGCCACCAAATAGCCTCTATATCTGGAGCATACAACGGCCAGGAATATGATATTTCTAGCCGACTGAAAGATGGAGAGAATGAGGTGGTGGTGAGGGTGTATCCGGTGGATTATATGAGGGATTTCGGGGTGGGCTGGGCGGATTGGAATCCTCCTCCGCCGGATAATGGGATGGGGGTTTGGAGGGGGGTGGGGGTTAGGAGGGTAAACGGGGTGGGGATGGGAGGGGTGAGGGTTGTTGTTGTTGGGGATGTTGATGTTAATGGGGAGGGGGATGTGAAGGTGAGGGTTAAGGTTGAGGTGAGGAATTGGAGGGATGAGAGTGTCAGTGTGGTGTTTATGGGGAGGGTCTTTCATGATGATACTAACGATAAAGGAGTGGAGTTTGCAAAGCCAGTGACTCTACGAGGAGGAGAAACCACCACCGTCGAAGCAGCAGTTACTATCCCGAATGCCAAGATATGGTGGCCTGCTACCTGGGGAAGACAGGATATGTATACCGTGCTTGCGAATTTCACCCTCGATGATGGGAAGTTATCTGATCGCGCGGAGTGCTCATTCGGGATTCGCTCTGTCACTGCTACGTTAACTGAACATGGCGATGAAAAAGATATCTCGTTCAAAGTCAACGGATATCCCTTCCATGTGCGAGGGGCTGGATACAGCCCCGACATATTCCTCCGGTTTGATATCGATCGCGTGCGCACACTCTTCCAAGCTGTGCTGGATATGGGACTCAACACAATCCGACTAGAAGGCAAGCTCGAACACCCGCAGTTCTATGATCTGGCTGATCGGATGGGGGTCATGGTGCTGGCGGGGTGGGAGTGTTGCGATAAGTGGGAGGCGTGGGAGGTATACTCCTACCCTTATCCCCCCTTTACCTCCATCAACCACATATACTAATAGATAAATAAAGTACAACACCGACCTCGAAAGACACTACCCCTGGACAACCAACGACTACCTAACCGCCTCCTCAAGTCTCACCCACGAATCCCTAACCCTGCAACCCCACCCATCCATCCTCGCCTTCCTCCTCGGCTCCGACTACCCCCCCAACACCCGCGCCAGCACCCTCTACACCACCGCCCTGAACCACTCCGACTGGACCAACCCCATCATCTCCTCCGCCTCCTCTCGAATCCACCCATCGGGAATGAAAATGCTCGGCCCATATGACTGGGTGCCCCCTAACTACTGGTACTCCGAGCAGCTCGGCGCCGCGTATGGCTTCGGCTCAGAGCAGGGTGCAGGCGTAGGGACCCCCGAACTCCCCAGCCTCCGACGATTCCTTTCTCCCCAGGAACTGGATACGTTGTGGAAAGAGAAAGATGCAGGGATGTACCATATGTCTCCCTCCGGATCGCAGTTCCATACAAGGGGTGTGTATAATGCTGCGCTGTGGGAGAGGTATGGTAAGCCGACTTCGTTGGAGGAGTATGTGTTTCTGGCGCAGGTGATGGATTATGAGGCGACGAGGGCTGAATTCGAGGCGTTTGCTATACGGCAGAATAGATCCGGTAGGGCTGCGACGGGGGTAGTGTACTGGATGCTGAATAGTGCGTGGCCGAGTTTACATTGGCAACTCGTTGACTTCTATTTGAAGAGGGGAGGGGGTTATTATGGAGTGAAGGTGGGGTGTAGAGGGGAGCATGTTACGGTTGATCACTTGAATGGGGATATCTATATCATAAATCACGGGATTGAGGGGAAAGAAGGGAGGGTGGTGGTGGTTGATGTGGTAGATCTAGCTGGGAAGAATCTATTTCATAGAGAGGTAGGAAGTGTGGAGCTGGGTCCGACGATGTCGAAGAAAGTCACCTCTATCTTCCCTTGGGTTGGAGATGGGGGATGGAATGGAGTGGTTTTTCTTCGATTAGTTTTGAAGAAGGATGGGGGAGAAGTGCTGAGTAGGAATGTGTATACTCTGCCTTCTCAACTTGACGTTCTGAGCTGGGATGAGTCGACGTGGTATACTACGCCTGTGAACTCTTATGCGAATTTCACGTCGTTGATGGGATTGCCGAGGGTAGAGGTGGTTGTCACTGGGGAGATGGGTGATGGCGGAGGGTTGAAGGTCACGCTGGTAAATCGGGATAAGGTACCGGCGTGGTTTGTGAGGATCGCGATGGTGGATGATGCTGATGAGGAGGTGGATGTGTGGTGGGAGGATAATTACGTGAGCGTGTTGGGGGGAGAAAAGGTGGTTGTGAGTGGGAGGGTGGATGGAAGGGTAGGGAAGGGGAGGATGAAGGTTGTGGTGGAGGGAGGGAATGTGGTGAGGAGGGGATGCTATATTTCTTAATATGCTTCAATGTTTGAATAATTCTTTAGATAATTGTGATTGTATTGATGAGTAGTATCCACATCTATCTCAAACTATGTGTATCTAACTACCATCTAAGACAAAACTAAGAAATTATGGCCAGCATAATACCCAGCTGCAGCAGCAGCAGCACCTAGAACTGCTTCACCGTCTTCTGCAACCCCCCAAACCTCAACGGCTTTCTCGTAAACTTGTCCGGCTCCTCCCTCGCCCCCTTCTTCCAATAATCAAACTCCATCCACACATTCTCCTTCATCTGCTCGTCCATCGCCTCGAGGAATTCTCCCAGATCCGGACTCAACGGAATCACTCCCGTCTCAAGCACATACTGATCCCACAACTTCAACAACACCTCCATCCTCTCCGGCTCATTCTCCGCCAGATCGTGCACTTCTCCCGGATCATTCCTCAGGTTATACAGCTGCCAGCGCTCTGGTCCCTTCGGTTTCGGGATATACACGATCTTCCAGTCGCCGTAGCGCAGGGCCGCACGACCACAGGTCTCCCAGCCCTGGATGAAGTCCTCTGGGTGGATGCGCGCGGCGCTGCCATTGGCCCAGGGGTAGATGGACTTCCCGCGCATAGGAACAATTTCCCGTCCCTGGTATGTCGGTGCGGGGTGCTTGAGGCCGGCCATGTCCAGGATCGTAGGGGCGAGGTCCATGACAGTGGCGAATTGGTCTGTTATAGCACCGGCCTGAACCTGAGGGGATGTCTGTACTGAAGTAGGGAATCTAGCAAGGAAGGGAACGCGAACGCCTCCCTCGGTAGTGTATGCTTTATACAATCTAGACGGGGCGGTGGCTGCCTGCGCCCATCGCGGTCCGTACCAGATGAAGGAGTTGTAGTTGCCCAGGTTCTCGAGCGAATTATCGTAGTATTTCTGAAGATGAGGGAGGACACCACTCTTCACAAGAGGGTAGGCTTCGTAGGCTGCGCCCTCGGCACCGTTGTCGGACATGAAGCAGACGAACGTGTTGTCCAGCTCGTCAATAGAGGCGAGATAGTCGACGACCTTGCCGACGTTGGCGTCGATGCACTCGACCATACCGGCGAAGACTTCCATCGCGGTGGAGGACATTTTCTGTTCCTCTGGGGAGAGCTCAGACCAGGGCTTGGCCTCGTCTTCCTCTGCAACCACAGGATGAGGCTCGACGCTGTCGGGAATCATGCCGAGGGCCTTGAGGCGCTCAAGACGGCGTTGGCGCAGGACATCAGGACCCTCATCGTAGACACCGCGGTAGTGGTCGATGTACTCGCGGGGAGCTTGCAGGGGCCAGTGGGGTGCTGTGAAGGGGAGATAGGCGAAGAAAGGCCGGTCATCGCCGCGTTCGTGCCAGTCTTTCAGGTAATCACGCATCTTGTCGCCGTAGCCATCGGACGAGTACCATCCATCAGGGAGCTTCTTGACGTAATGGTCGTCTTCCGTGTGCAGGGCGATGTAACTAGCTTCGAGGAAGGTGGGAGTCTCATCGGTGCCTTGGAGCTGGGGCTCATAGGCATAGTGGTTGGAGCAGGCAGGGAGGTGGGCAAGAGAACGGTCAAAGCCGCGACGGTAGGGAGAGCGCTCTGGGGTAAGACCCAGGTGCCATTTGCCTGCCATCAGGGTGTGGTAGCCTCCGTCGCGGAGGACTTCGGGGAGAGCGACAACGCGCTCGTTGAGATAGCCTTCATATCCAGGCATACCGCGCTGAGGAGCGGTGCTCATGCCGCCGCCCTTGGGGTCATTCTGACCGGAGATGTTGGTCCATTCGACGAGGTTACCCAGACCGGCGATGTGATGATCGGTACCGGTCATGATCATGGCACGAGTGGGACTGGATTAATTGTTAGACACTGTTGAGAGTATAGTGGCAGGAGAGGACATACGAGCATGCTGCCGCAGCGTGAAAGTCCGTAAAGCGAACGCCCTCTTGAGCCAGACGGTTGAGATTGGGAGTGCGAATCTCTCCTCCAAAGCAACCAATGTCAGAGAAGCCCAGATCATCAGCGACGACCACGAGGAAGTTGGGGCGTTTCGGAGCCATGATGTATAATATGGGCAAGAGACTAAGATGTAAGCTCACAGCTGAACTCACAGCTGACCAGAAGCGAAGACAGGGGTATTTAAGTGGCATCTACCCCGTACTACGCCATCGGCTCTCGGCTGAGGCACGCGGCCTCGCCATTAACCGCACCAGAAACCAGAATGATGGCAGAAGAGTATCAGATGGAGAGGGGCATCACCATCCGATTGGCAATCCAAGTGAGGAGACGGTCAATCCGCATGTTGGAACCAATCAGTGAATCACGCCATGGTCCCCGCTTCTCACGCACTCGGCTGTCGGCTGCCTTGCCTCTTGCGATCATAGTCGGATGATCACTGGAATTGCTGTCTACTCAATCAGCAGGGTGGCAACTGACCGGAAAAGATTTGGGATAGAGGCAAGTTGCCCGTTTTTGAGGTGCTTTGCATCGCTGGTTCACGCTTACTTAACAGTGGCGGGAGAAGCACCCGCTGTAACGGTGTTGTCGTACAACCCTCACTACCATTTATACTGCCGACCCGTGATCTTCAATGCTTATCGGCTATTATCTTAGCAACGCTTGTCTACAATCAGATAGTACTGACGGATTACTGCCAGATATCAGGAATGCATATTATCATATCTTTGGGTGGAATCTACTCATCCCATACCACACTGCTCAACCCCGTCGATGTACCGACCACCCCCGGTTCGCCGATCTGCACATTTGCCACCTCATCCCCCAGCTTTCCAGTCTGCGGGTCCCGCGCTACGATCGCAACGTTCGACGACGATTGATCGCCAATCGCAACCAAATCGCCCGCCTGGTTAATCACAAAAGTGCGGGGAACCGTGCCATACGATGAGGTGAGTTCGTTCAAGGTGATCGTGTTATTCGAAGAGTGGTCCAGATTTGCCATTGAATCGTTGGGGGCGAAGCCTTGATCACTCCGGATCGACACATACAAGGAATTGCCCGCTTGACGGATTTCTGATGGCGTGGCCCCGTCCGGTAGCTGGCCTTCGGTGTACGGCTCGAAGGACTGGAACTCATCAAAGCCGAGACAGCCATCGGACGTGTAGGAGACCGTGAACCCTTTGAAGTGTCCGTCCAATTCATCGACAATGTACAGGACTTGACTGTCCTGCTGCCGAGTCTTGAGTTGTCTGGTGAGTGTAGAGTGCTCCGTCTGCCAGAAAAGGCCGTGTCTCGGTCCGCTCCCCTCTGGATAAGAGAGGTCAGGACAGGTCCCATCCAATTCACCGCTAGACTTGTCGATGGCGTACACGCGGACGAGATCCGCTCCCAGATCCGGCACGAGTATAAACGATCCAGTTGGGTCCAGGAGGACTTGGTGAGGATGGGGCGCATTCTGCTGCGGGTTCTGTTTGGTTTCGGAGAGGTTGTAGCGGAAAACCTGGAGGTTCTCATCTCCCTGATTCAAAGGAAGACGGAATGTCGACATCGCGGAGCCACCACTGCAACCGTTAGATACAACCACACGCCGAAGTCGAGGAACATACTAGTGAGCGATAGCTAAATACTGAGTGCCGTCATCACCGCTATAGAAGATACTGTTCACGCCGCCTCCAGGTGCCGCGGCAGTGGCTATCTCCGTTAGGGTGCCGTCCTCGTCGGCCGCCAGAGTGGTCAGAGATCCGTTGGTGGACGCATCGCCAGACTCATCAGAGCAGTATAGAATGCGCGAGGCCGAGTCAAAGGTCAGCCAGCTGGGCATCGAGCCGCAAGTCTTTAGCGAGGAGGCGATGGACAGGGAGTAGGTGTCGTCGCTGCGCTGGAGGGAGAGACTGTAGACGGAGCCGTCATAGTGGGTAGCGTAGAGGTTGGTTGCTGTGGCCAAGGGCAGACATGTTGCCAGCCAACTGAGAGCGAAGTGTCGACCCATGTTGATTGTGGTAGGTGCTGATGCATCGAGGGATAGATGAGGTCAATAAATAGCCACCGCACGGGGTCAGGAATGGATCTGCATTCTGCGGTTGAATTGTTCCAGGGACGGTAGGAGCGCTGCAGCTGCATGTCTACTGTCAGTAATGTAGAGAAACTCTGTAGCCGAGGGTAGCCTCTAACCAGAAGTATAGCTTCAGTTCTCCTCACTGTCTCAGTCTAGCCAGCCATCCTGTTCAGTCCACCAATCATCGCTAACAAACGAGACGAGATCCCTTGCTTGGACTTCAGCATATTCGCACCATATGTTGCTTATATCAACTGAAACAGTATTTTCCAGACACAACCAGCATACCGTGACTTGACTAAGGCAAGAGAAGTAAACAAAGTCAACCGACATCGCTTGCATGCACCTTCCTAATCGAGCATCTTATCACGCTTATCGCAGGACCAAACAGTGCAAATAGCAGGACCCTGTATAACGCATATATTACTAATCATGCACATCGGAAATCCGGAGGTATCACGTGGCAATGTTCTCCGCGGTTTGGGCATGTGGCTTACAATCTAACATTAGCCAGTATCTCTGTCACTATACTGAGAATACATCCAGCATGGGCTGGGTCGGGGTCGCCACACTCATTGCAACAGCATGCTTCCTGCTGTATCGCTATCCCCCCGGAACCTGGGCTCCTGAGCCCCCGTCATCCAAACCACTTCCGAAACCCGTCAACCCCCCTGCGACAGAGGAAACGACAGCCAACGGCGAAGCAAAGCCCCCTATTGACGAGGATGATGCTGCGAGCGACACCCAGACCACCCCCAAGGCAACTCCATCCAGCGCACCAGCGCTGGAAGTACCTTCTTTCCGACTAGACGACAGCGCCGATCATCCCCGCCCCTCAGTACCGCAAATCCAGTCCGGCAGTGACAGCGCTCGAACCCAAAGCACGATGAAACCACCATTTCAACCCCTAAACCAGACCAAGATGGTAGACAGCACTCTCATGCCTCCGCCACCCCCGCCACAGCAGTCCAACCCCGCAAAAAGCTCCTCTCTTATGCCTCCCCCGGCCCCGCCGCGTCTCCGTCCGATCGCATCGCAGACTACTTCTGCGCCCTCCCTTGCACCGGGGCGATATCCCCCACGCCCGAATAATACGAGCTCGAGCTCATTGCGTCCACCCCCCTCCGCTGCTGCCTCCCTGCGCGTTCCGCCAAGCAGCGGCCTCTCGAGCAGCACGCTCGCCCCGACGAAGGTGACCGCCAAACCGTCCAGCTCTTCGAAACGAGCGGTTCTCGAACCGGGATATTCACCCCTAGACTGGGCTGCGTTGACATCCAACCCAAACAACAAGTTGCGGGGAGCAAACCTCCCTCCAACCTTGATCCGAGTGACGCCGTCGATGCTGAAAGCACAAAATGGCCGAAAGGGCATGGACGCATGGACATCATACCAGGGGAAAGTCTACAACATCACACCCTACCTCCCCTTCCACCCCGGCGGCCGGGGAGAGCTTCTCCGCGGCGCGGGCAAGGACTCGGGCAAATTATTCTTCGAGATCCACCCGTGGGTAAACTGGGATGCTATACTAGGAGAATGCCTCGTGGGGATACTCGTCTCCGAGAACGACGAGTCAGATAACAAGCTGGATGCGATGGATTAACCCCCTGTATATTTATTTAGACTCATTGCTGTTGATCCGTGTACCTAATCTACACTTTAGAAGATGATACCCTAGACGATACAAATAGACCCATATCGTTATACCCCACATACACATATATAGAAAAAGGAATTGAGAAGAAAAAAAGATCACAACTCATCCTTATCAACCCCCTGAATACCCACCAACTCCGTCTCAAAAATCAACGTCGCACCGCCAGGAATCGGTCCAATACCGCGATCACCGTATCCCAGCTCCGGCGGAATCGTCAACGTGCGCTTCTCCCCAATGCACATGTCCTGGAGACCTTGGTCCCATCTACACCCAGACAAATAAATCAGCATCCATTTCCATAGACAATTCCTCACCAAAGCAAGCTAGCAATGGTGGGAAGATGGTAAACACATACCCCTTAATAACTCTCCCCGAACCAAGCTTGAACTTCAACGGAGTGCCGCGGTTGTAACTAGCATCGAACTCGGATCCGTCGGAGGCGAGCTTGCCCCGGTAGTGCATGGACACTGTATCTCCGTTTTGGGTCTTGCGGGTGCATTCGACCGCGTGGGTGACTTCGATTCCGAGGTCGGCGGCGGAGGCGAGGGTGGTGAGGGAGAGGGTGAGGAGGGCGGCGAGAGTTGGGAGGCGCATTTTGGTAGATGGTGTATGTGTGAATGGACGGATGAATTGGTTGGAGGTTGGAGGTGGGAGTTGTAGGATGGGAGGAATTGGGGAGATGCGGATACGTATACTTAAGTGAGTGAGAGCGGAGGAGATGCGGAGAGGTAACTAGTTAGGTGGTGGTTGCCGGGCGGTTAGATAAGTACTAGGTTAGTTAGCTGGGGAGGGAGTTGCTAGGGGGAGTATGCAGAGTCAATCTTGTGGGGTATTGGGTTGTAATTGGTGGTTTGTATATAGGGTGTTTTCTATCCCTATGGGATATTGTATTCACTTCGTACAAATTAGCAAAGATAAAAAAAGCAGACATGTTGATTGCGCAGGGAGTGGTGTGTTTAGGAAAGATCAAAAGGAAAAACAAAAAAGTGACTAGACTGGGGCTCGATCCCAGGACCTTATGCGTGTGAAGCATACGTGATAACCAACTACACCATCCAGCCAACTTGTTGTGATAGTCTGCTAACAGTATTGACTGATGAATAAATTTGGAGAAATAAGCCTGAATATTAACAATGAATGTATCTTGTTGAATCCCTAGCTTACTTTGATAGCTTATCTATTTCTACGATTTTCGTGTTTGAGATCTGATAGTATGGAGACTGTCATCATATACTGTCATAAATGGTATCTATATGTACAAAGAACAAGATCTATTTAATATTTTTAAGCCCATTTACCCAGCAGGGCCATTAGCAAAGCACCCAGACATAGCAGACCGAAAGCCGCGAGAACAATCTGTATCGGTGCCTTTCGCATCGAAGTGCTGAACATGAACTCGTGGGCCAGTAGCTCCACCAGGGCTGTGTAGATCAGAATGCCGGCCGAAATCGAGTCAAAGACACCACTGACGATCAACGTCGTGGCGCCGTCAGATGCATAAGAGTCGCGCACGCCTAGACCGATCGCAATCGCAATAGGCGTGGAGATACCGTATCCAAGTCCCAGGAAATAAGGGGTCCATCGCTTGGAACGTGGCCAGGGAACGGTAGCTAACCGGGATCCCAGACCCAGGCCTTCGAAGGTTTGGTGGAAGACGAGGACAACGTAGAGGGTCACAAACTCGGAGCCGGTGACCGCCAGGGTCAACCCAATGAAGACGGAGTGGAAGATGATTCCAAACTCGAGAATGAAGATGGAGGTCAATTGAGCGACGTACTCCTCCAGATCAGAATGCTGCTTCCCGAGCTCCATATCATGGTGTTCGCGGGAATGCCCGAGATGGTCTTCCCCCGGCATATGGGTCTTCATGTCAACCGACTCAGCAGGAGAGGCAGCGGCATGCTCAATCTTCACGTGATGGTCATCATCCTCGTCGTGAGAGTGGCCGTGGCCGAAACGGGCAAAGCGCATGACCATTAGCTCCACGAAGAACAGTACCACAATGGTCATTAGGACGATTCCCTCAACCCAAGAGTATTCTGTGATTGGGCCGGTGAGGCAATCGTCGGTCAAGGCCTCTTCTGCTGGGGCAAGGAGGTGAATAAATGCGGTGGCAATGATAACACCGGAGCCAAAGTATTTAGCGATGAAGAAGGCGCATTTTGCAATCTTGGAGTCCTTGAAACTCCGGGCCATCACGGGAAAGAGAGCCCCGCATGTTGAACCGACGAGAATGACAAAGATAGACGAGATACGCAGGCCCATACGGCCGTCATATCCATTGCCCGTCTCACAAGCAGGTGTTGCATCTCTGGCAACCAGACTCTGAAGAGAATCCATGTTCCACCGTAGGATGTATCCGACCCGGCAAGTTCTCTGCAGACGGTCTGGAGCAGCTTAGAATAGCACGGGCCCGCCCGAAGAAGGTAGGGATGATCGAAACGAGGTCTGACAGGTATCCGGTCCAATGGCGTGCAGGATCGGTGTGACAGGAGGATGGCGGAAGTGTAGGCACGTGGAAGAGGAATGTCAACTGCAGTTCGGTTGAGATTGCTGGAGGTTCGTCTGCAAGGTCCCCCGCTCTTAAATTGGTTTCTCAAATGTGCGCCAAGTTGTTCAGTGTGAGAGTTGGGCGTCCCCAAGGTCCCTAAGGCTGGTCCACGTCAAAAGGGTCCGGCGATGAACGGCGCTGAACCGGTGCTGAGGACCTTGGTGGCACAAGGTGAGGGGTTCGCACAAACGCGATTGCTGAGGCGTCGATTTGGATTTTATTTAGTCAAGAAACGATCTCAAACAACTTGCCAGCGCGCAGCTCGCCTGGACACAGGTGAGAAGTCAATTGAGCAACACAACGCGAAGCAAGAACAGGAGTTGAATGCAGAGGCGCCTCCATGATGGCGGGCGACGGAGACCTCCAGTCCGTTCTGGGTAAAGTGCCAAGTTGCATCAGATGGGGACCTTGGGGGAAAGCGGCGGGTTCACCTCAAGAGTTTTCGCTCGAAAGTGAGGACCTTGCGGACGAGGTTTTCTTTTACTAGCCTTTGATTGGCTCGGACGGACATAGGCGGGGCATTTTGACGCAATGGTTAGCGGCCCGGAACCTTGTTGATCCGGTGTTGCTCATTTCCTGCATCCCGATTGGTTGCTCTAGAGCGGTCAGAAGGGCGGGATTCGCATACTCTGGCAGAAACAATAGTGGGGATGAACACCTGCTCAATTAGGTAATTATGATACCTTGAGTATCTATGCTGCCACAGAATACATGAGCAGAGCTCTGTCACAAAAGACTGTTCACACCAATGGAGCGGAAGTATAAAGAAAGTTTAGCGCACTGATCTGCCAATTTACGCAATGGCAGTCATGATTCAGTGACCGATATGTCAGCACCAACCAAACCCTGAGCACATTCGAAGGTTGCCAAGACTACGGGTAAATATTCCAAAGCAGCATCATGACTATTGGCGCGGAAGCCACTATCCTTGGCTCTCAAACTTCCAAGTGTTCCACTACTAGTAGTACGGATGTAGTCGGAAATGGGGCGTCCGGATAACCTTGATGTGTAACGTCCGTGTGACCTTGCATTGAAGCTCCACTCAATCTCACAAATCGGGCAATATGTTATCAGGTTTGTTCTGCCTTTTCACAGAGTTTATGCCTGATGACCTTACCTCCACACACCGAAGTTCATTGCTAGTTCAATTCCCCAAAGCCGATGCTGCTTGGATTCGGCGACCGGTACTAGGGGCGCATCGACCTAGCACTGAGCTCAAAGCGGTTATTAGCCAATTAAAACAAGCCATGCTTCATTTCAAGTCTCCTCTAACTCTGAATTTCTGGATATTAGACGTTTTCTATAATGGTAAAAGGCCAAAGCTTTGAAACCCGGTTCATGACAAAGATATGCAACATGTTGGATCAGCTGGCACTATACACGCGTCTAGGCTGACTTATGATGCCTAGGCTGTTATTTTCACTAATCAGGGTTTTAAATGACTGTACGCATCCAAGTTTCTGATCTGAGCGCGGAGCCGATGAGCCTTTAGCGACCTACGAGATACTGTCAGTAGACCTTCATGGTGCAGCCTTGTCTGCGGCAATTGCATCATGATTTGATGCATTTAACTAGCGATCAAGGGAAATGGCGATGAAGCGGGGTATGGACCTATCAAAGCGCCGATGACCTTAGCGCCGAGCATGGCCGTGGGCTCACCATGTCGACTGCAGCCTTGTCACAACTGCTTACTCTCAGAATGTTGTATACGACTCAGTTCTTATGCGACCAGAATGCCATTGCATAGTTTGAATTCAAGATGAAAATCCGGCGCGAAAGGTTGCTGTACGGGGCGCCTCAACAAGTAATATATGGACTTATAAAACTACCGCTCAAATTGATCTGGCAGAACACAGAGCCTTCCAGTGGCAAGAGGCCCAGGACAGTGCCCGCTGAAGCTATCAAAGTTGCAATTTTCTGCGCTTTATCGTACGAGGCTACTGCGGTCAAGTATTGTCTAGATGAAGAACTCGCATGTCAACCACGAACAATAGGCCCCAAGAACTACATGTACTCTTTCGGCCGTATAGGTGAGCACAAGCTTGTTATCGCCCAACCAGTTCACATGGGGCTTGCCAAAGCTGCTCAATGTGCAGCAACGGTTAGGCAACAATTCCCACATGTCCAGTTTGCCTTGCTGGTTGGTATTGGAGCAGGCATTCCATGCCCGAATAGGTGTGATATCCGGCTGGGCGATATTGCGGTCGGCATCCCGCGAGGCAGCCACCCCGGAGTGATACAGTATGACTTGGGAATATACGAGGAGGATGAATTCGTACCACAAGGATGTGTCAACAAACCACCATCAATCTTGATAAGTGCAGATGGATCACTAGAAGAAGATGAGATAATGAACCGAAGCCCACTGCGAGAGATTTTGAAAGACATCACAAAGAACCCTGGGTATGAACGACCATCAGGGCAGGATATACTGTATGACGATGATTTTCATCACATCAACACTGGCGGCGACTGTACCGAGTGTGAGAAATCGGACTGGAAGAAAATTGTGCCCCGGACTCCGCGTTCTCTCGAACATCCTGTGGTTCATCGAGGTCTTATACTTTCCGGTAATGGCGTTATAAAAACCCCACAGGATCGCAATCGCTTACGGCGTGGGCATGACGACGCCATTTGCTTCGAAATGGAAGGAGCCGGCATAGCCGATGTGATTCCTTGCCTTGTCGTGCGAAGAATCTGCGATTATGCGAACACGCATAAGCAGGATGGGTGGCATCATTTTGCTGCGGCCGCGGCCGCAGCTCATTGCAAATCCATCCTTCTCAAAATAGATACACAAGGAGTGGGAGATGCTACTGAAATGAGCTCTTTATTGAGTGACCAAGACGACCTATTAAGAGCGATCAGAGCTATGATCCAATGTCAAAGCCTAGCCACCGCATTGTGGCCCCTTAAATACCTGCTACCATTAGAAACAAGCCATGATGGTGTATGTTATGAACAGAAAGGATGCTTGGACCTGAATAGACTGCCGATAGCTAAAGATGCTGCCTTTGACTCATATGCAGAGCAGCACGAAACTTTTTGTCTTCCGGGCACTTGCATCAGCCTTCTCCAGCGCATTGAGGACTCGGTGTACGATGAAAGTGGAAGATGCATCTTCTACCTAAATGGTATGGCTGGAACCGGAAAGCCTACGATATCTCGAACTGTTGCCAAGAATTTCAGAGAAAAACAAATGCTGGGAGCTAGCTTTTTCTTCAAGAGGAATGCAGGTGATCGAGGACATGCAAGACGGCTTTTCTCGACAATCGCCAGGCAGCTCATTACACATCTCCCTCAGCTCTCACCTATTATCAAGAAAGCTGTTCGAGAAAACCCTGATATATCCACAAAGTCACTAAGGGAGCAGTTTGGAAGACTTCTATTTTCGCCACTGATAGAACTGGGAAGAACTGGAAAGGACACCGAGACTATTGTGATCTTGATCGATGCATTAGACGAATGTGAGTCGGACAAAGACGTGCGACTCATAGTTCATTTACTATCTCAATTGCGGGACTCGGGTGTAGTACACCCACGGATCTTCTTATCAAGTCGACCCGACTTACCTATTCGTCAGAGCTTCAGCCATCTCGTTGCCAACAAGTATCGTGACTTTGCTCTGCAAGAGGTTCTAAGTCCAACAATAGAACACGATATATCGCTGTTATTGAGGCACAGGATCGCAGAATTCAAAAATGATAACCCACTTCCGTCCAACTGGCCCTCTGAGCAGGATTTCCAGAAGCTTGTCACATTGTGCGTTCCTTCGTTTGCTTTTGCTGCTGCTTTCTGCAACACGCTAGAGGAGCCTCAATGGGATCCGGAGGAAGTCCTTGGAGAGTTCCTCCAAAGCCCCAGGCTCAATCTAGATCAGATATACCTCCCCATATTGAATCGCATGCTCCATGGGCAGACCAAATCCCAGCAAGAGCGACTACTTCGGGAATTTAAAGAAGTAGTTGGTCCGATTCTTATCCTCCAGCGTGCGCTATCGGTCAAATCGCTTTCAATACTCACTGGAAACTCAGAGAAGTTGATAAAGCGGAGGCTGGGCTCTCTGCACTCGATCATAAAAGTCCCAGACGATGATACACTACCAGTGGAACATCTTCACTGGTCACTCCGAACCTTTTTACATAGCCCAGACACGCGCGAGACGACACCCTTCTGGATCGATGAGAAAGAGACGCACAGTGAACTCACTGCGCAGTGCCAGAAGCTCATGGAATACACCTTTGAACAAAACACCCATAATCCACCAGCCTCCGACAAACCCCAAGTGGACTCGGACTCAGGGAATGGGACATACAACAATACCACCCCGGAACTCCAATATGCGTGTCAATACTGGGTACATCATCTATTGAACAGTGCGGATCCTGTTGATAAACTAGACACATTATTTCCATTCCTCCAGGAACACTTCTTTCATTGGGTTCAGGTGCTAAATGTCATCAGCGACCGATCTACTATCACAGACATGATCAATCGTTTACAGTCGATCAAGCATGTAGGTATTCAGTCCTGTCCCTATATGTAATAGAACTAATCATGTCTCCGTTTTAGGATCATAATATGTCGAGGTTTCTGGAAGATGTGAAGAAGTCCATTCTTAAAAATGAAGGTAGACGGATAGAAGATGAAGAAGATGATATTACGCGATATACAGTTGGCCAATCGCTTTATATGGCCGGGTGTCTTGGAATTTAGCACGCACCTTCAGCGTTCGCATGACCACAGGTCTAGTACTAGATTTCAGCTCCTACTATTTATAGAGTTGGCGGCCGATCAGATTGTCAAGAAATCTGCATTGGTATGTAATAAATAGGGTGCCTAACAATGTAATCTAAGGACGCCACTCCTCGTCGCCGTTGTTGTCACTCTCATCATCATCATCTTCTTCTTCGGCTTCAGCCTCCTCGGCCTCGGCCCCTTGTCCCCCCTCACCCGCAACTGATTGCCATTGGCCTCCCGGCCCCACGTAAACGATCCTTGCTCCCCTAGTGACCAAATGTCTTGGGCAATAATTGCCCACTAGTTCTCGCTGCCTTAGGCCCAATTTGGTGCACCTAACGTTGGTGCCGAGGCAAGGGAGGCATTGCTTGAAGGGGCCGGGGGTCGTGCATCCGCACGAATAGACATAGATCTGATAGAAGCACCTTCATCATAGAAGTCAATGTGAGATCATCTGGAATTATTGCTCTACTTACATTTTTTGGGAGAGTAGAATGTGAGAGAGTATAGTGTGAGAGACTATTTCGATTGTGCTGCTACTGGACTATGGTATGCTAAGTTCTACAAAACATTTGTGCTATGAAATGGAAGCCTTGTTGCACCTTCCTTAATTGGCACGTCACTTCATACATCGTGCTTACCTGTCATGGTCCACATGATGTAATGTTGCCTCTGTGTTGTATCGAGTTCAATAGAGATTCTCATTTACCATTATATGGTCCTGTACGAGTAGTGGAGGTCTGCAACGTGTGAGGCATGGCTGTATCCAGTCGGCCGATACCTTATACATGCATTAGGTGAATTTATCCTCCCCTCTCTACACAGAAGCATGTACACTTTATGAAAAACAGCTCTAATAAGATAAGCGAAGGTTGCGGACAAGCTTTTCCGATGTAGTGATATCTGGGACTTCCGGTTTGACTACCACCTTATGTCATAGCCATCGCTATCATGACATCTTCCGCCGAACCAGACGTTCTTTAAATGGCCCATATGCAGTGCGCATTGCGGCGGTAGCCTTGCAATTTTATTGCACACACTTTGGAAACATGAAAGCTATAAACCGTTCCTTCTACCACACAATCGAAGCTGAGTCCTATCCTGATAGGCCCAGCTGTCTCGTCTGCGGCTTTGTCTTCGCCAACGGGACCAGTGAGGATTCTCATTACAGTTACGTGGATCCGAGATACCGTACAGGGAGTAGCATATGTCGAGCTGAGGCTCTAGAGGATTGGAAAGCTTCTGGGAAGAAAAACTGGTGGAAGAGAACATGGTGGAACACTTCCCGCGCAAGTCAGTCACCTAGGTACACTGTATGTCGTCAGCTGTTGACTGATCAGTTCAGTTCTGTACCACCCTGCAACAGGCACATGCCGACTTTCTGGAGTCAGCCTGCATCCTCTGACAACCGGATTGGTTCCAATGAATGAGAAAGATGGATACGTTTGCGGTAGTTGGTTTGGCTGGTTATCCCCCAAAGAACGACAACTTTTCGTAAGTCCGGACATTCTATGCCCAACCCAGGAGCCGGCGCCCGACATTGAGTGGGTGGCTTACTTTGTTCACTCTCGCTGCTGGGAGCTACTTACTCATCATGACTTGGGGGAGATTGCGGAGAGAAACTTGGGCATAGTTCTCGACGCTCTCCGAGACAGACATAAGACCCTCCGAGACATATGTAAGAAAACTGGCTACCGACCTAGATCCTGGTATTGGATGTATTGTCGGGAAGGTTAGGGTCCCCCCAGGTCCGACATTCGATGACGCTGAACTTGAATCTCTAACAGATCCCGTTCGTACAAAATGCGTTAAAGAAGCCATTTGCCTAGCACGAAAGCACGAAAGACGAAGGCAATCGAGGATGAAACGAAAGGGTTATTTGGTCACCCGAAAGGCACCACGTCCCAGACCTTGCGTTCTTCCGATGGAAATACTCTATTTGATTCTTGAGTATCTTCCATATCAAACGATTGTAGATTTGGAAGAAGGATTGCGCCTCAATCTCGGCAATGGGTTTTGGCGCACTAGGCTCTCTACTCGAATATTCTACGAAGTGAAGAAGATTGCCACCAACGAGGTTAATTGGAAGCGCCTATCCATGTTGCTGGAACGACGGCTCAAGAAGTCAAACGCTTTGGCAATCCGACGGTTCATAATATCGTCTCTGGACAGAGTTACGAAGTTTGTCAACGTGTATGTGATGGAGCAGCCTTTATTACTGTTCCCACGGTACGTCTATCCCTTTCCATGTTCTAAGCGCAAGAATGCGGCCTAATGGAAACTCCCAAGAGGATCACCGCAATCAGCCAAGGTCCTCAAGGTGACCGGGGAGCAGATCCGCCAGGGTGATAACGGCATCAAAAGTGTGATGGTGGAGTCAAACATCCGCGAAGGTAACAAGAAACAGCTCCTGACCTCCAAAATTGTAAAAATGGCGTCAGTATCACCGATGGTTGCATCGACTGGACCACCGAGATCTATCTTAGCTTTCTTGCTCAGGTGATGAAAGACCGCCGAGTTCAATCATTAATTGGCAAGAGCTAGAATAGTCGGTTGGATTTGGCTTGGCGCTTATGTGAAGTGTTGGTTATATCATAATGTTTGGTTTTTGAATAACGTATCGATTGACTTTAACGTAGTCCTAATCCTCACTATATTTTCGTCTTGAAGTCCACAATATCTCACAAATTGTAAATCGAATACGTTTTCTGATATGTCTCAATTGCTGTAGATCATCGGCGGACCTATAGTCAAAATACTATTCGTAGATGTTGGATGATGGATCAAATAGTATATATACTATATCGTGCACCTCAACTCCTATTCAGGACGTAGCAGCCAATATGTCCAGGAAGGCCCTGATCTTGATGATAATGAGTGATAGAAATATTTATCAAACACAAATACCCATAATAGAGATTTTCATAGGTATTAAATGACAAGTAGTTTGGGCAGTGCCTCTAGTGCTGTCTTATTATACTTCATAATCTTGCTATCTAGAACCTGCCAATTAATATTAGCACTTGATTATATAGAAATGTAAAATGGAGTATTTTATACTTATATATTTACTAAAAAATGAGTTCTTACAAGCTCTAGTGGCCAATAACGGATTAGAAATACACTCTACCTATCAATATACGCTTTTACAGAGAGGTGCAAAACAGCTTCACCAATTTGCACTCTTCCTATTCTTTCTTTGCCCCACTGCCAAAGCGCTAGCTAGAGAATGGGTAGATCCAAATGGGCTCAAGTATATTAGACGGGTTCTGTCGGCGCCCCCACGAAATAAGAGGGTCCTGACACCGGACACAACGAGAAGGTCTCCAGAGATCCATCGTCCTAATTGCTTGAGGAGAGCGTTTACCTGGCGTGCTCGCCAAAGGCCCTTACAAGAACGGGATGAGAATCTAGCTCCGACCAACCGTGGCATTGACCACCATACATACTCCTTTCGGTTTAGTAGTGCTACTGGGGTCTTTTATTTTCTGATTCCGTGATCTTTTATTCCGGACCCACTCCTTCGGTTCCCTCTGCCGAAGAGATGCTAATAAAGCCACAGCCCTTAAACGCTTGATAGCCAGCAATTCTGCTCAACAGGCAATATTTCAAAACATTTCATACCTACAGTCATACTTAGAATGTCAAAATATCAATATGAGTACCTTTTCTTCCGCATCGCCAAAGACAATGCGATCGTATCGTCGGCCATAAAGTACAAACAGTTACGTCTCCAGGCCTTATCCGTTGCACCGACTTCATTTTCCTCTACCTACGAGATCGAATCTTCTCTCCCAGATACTGAATGGATTGACAGAGTCTCAGAGAATGGAAGGGAGATTTTCATATGCGCTGCGAAACCCACACAAAACAATCAACCAAATTCGCAAATCCTAGAACAGACCACCACGTGGGTAGGCCAGTTGACTTTGCGAGGCCCGCTGAGCCGGGAGGACTTCATTCTCCCTGAGGAATCCGGGCAGAAGAAGCCTACTGGAGGAAAGAACCAGGAACTCTGGCAGATGCTCAGCTTGTTTACTCTGCCTGACCATCGCGGGCGCGGCTTGGGGAAGAGGTTGTGTCAAGAGGCGTTGAGTTACTTAGCCTCATATAAGGATTCTCCACGTGAGCTCTGGGTCCGGTTGATGGTAAAGCCGGAGAATCATGCAACCGTCAGCTTGTATCGGGGGCTGGGATTTGTGGAAGCTGGAAAGTGTACTCTCGCTGAGGCGTTGGTTGCGAATGGGGACAAGGACTTGCTACCAGATAATATCAGTGGGGAGAAGTATACGTCGAGAAGTGGGCTGATCATGATGTTAGAGATTCGTCGCTCGTGAATCGGCCGTTGAGATGGGCTCCGATGAAGCGCTGGATACTGAATGGGAGTGAGAATTGGTCAAACAAAGCTTGGTAGATTGATAGGATACAACTTGACTGTCGATATTAACAGCCTATTGCTCAATTTATGCGATTATGAGGATATTTATCCTGAACCGAGCGGCTAGACCCTGGCAGCAGTAAATCTATCGCGACCAGCCGAATGTATTTTCTTGGCAATAAGCCGTTTCCATATACAGAAAGTTGGAACCATTAAGGTTGTAGAATACGGCCGCCAATTTGTATCTACAAGACAAAGTCCCTCGTATAGCGGCGCGGTTATAGTTCAAAGATGAAGGTTGTATCATCTGATATCGCCAGATTGAATGCCGCTTCGACGTCCAAACGACGGAATCCTGGTGCACATCCTAAACACACTCCCTTCAAAAGAAGTTCTGTTGAGAATTTGCGGTCAGCTTTCCTGTATATCACAATTTCCATACTTATATAAGAGGGCAAGATGACAAACCCTGAAGAAACCGGTCCACGTTGAGGACCTTTGCACTTTGCCGAATATCCTCCGGTGAGCCTAGGGAGGGCTCTCTCTTGGCACATAATGTCATATTCCTGCACGATTTGAACGAATGCAAGTCCGATAGATACATAAAAGACTGTGCCCCTCCAATAATAATACCATTCTCTTCGAGCCAACCCTCGATATCCCGAGGATCGAACCATGTAGTATCATCACTGTCACATGGCATCTCTTGTCCCACCGAGACATTCTGGACAATGTCAAGACCTGCCTGCCTTTCTTGGTAATGGGTCCCTGCACCACCCAACCTATACACATATGCAGTTCGGTAATCGGCACTAGTCCGTAGCAAGATGTCGAAAGTCGAAATCATCGTATCAGTGTCCGAGTAGTGGAATGAATACTGGAAAACGCGGGCGACTTCAGCTCCATCCGCGTGCGGGTCAGTTAGCAGGCCATGAGCCCGCTTGATGCAAGTAAAATAAAGCCGCTCCGCGAAATTCCTCGGTACTGGGAATTTTGTTTCAAAGAGAGTAATGGGAAGCCCTAACGGAGGCGCAAGAATGGGCATTGGTGTTTCGGTGGGTGTAGTGGCTGGTACTGGCCAATTCGTAGACCAAGTGATGTTAGCGTTGGGCTCAGCCCTTGAGTGATTATGGCAGACATGTCCATCATCAAGTCGTGGCTCGTTGACAGGCTCGATCATCTGAGAAGCAGATATGAAATCGCGAGTAATACTCTGGATCTTCTCGCGTGAGAGTTCCGGCTGCGTCTGAGGAGTTTCCACCTTTGTAATATGGGATAACAGTTCAAAGAAAGACCGGCTCATCTGCTCGATTCGATTTTCAAGAACCTGCACGTAGTTCATGCGAAGAGCAGCTTCTTCCCCTTTTCGAGACCTGTAAGCCCGTTGTGCTTTCCGAACTTGGTTACGCCGCCTCTATCAGCCAGTTAGAACACCAAGTCAGACTTGATGAGTATGGAAGAGCAGTAGATCCCTAAACATGCCTCCCCTAGACCTTTTTGCGTAGGGTCAATTGGTGGCCTCCCTCGCTTTCCCGTACGCAATCGACGAAGGTCGTCCGAAACTATAGAGCATCGCTTGCTTTCGTCAGGACTTCCAGACGGCATATTGGAGCCTGTTCCTGAATCAGATACGCTGGAAGACATAGAGGTTATGTAGGAGTGCACTTATGGATTAATCTGGCTACAATCGGTCTAATAGTAGTTAACAGAATCAGGAGTCCCCACACTCAATTGATTTAGCGCGTCCTCTTACAGCTCTCTCATTGGCTGTGGGTATTCACGGGGGTATCCTGCATGATAGGCCTAAGTGGCTCGACGTACTCTCAAGAAACTATGGAGGCGGAGGTACAGCGGATTACAGCGTGGTCACACTATGATTCTTAAAATACAAATATTAGTACTGTTGGTTTACCTGCTGCAGAATTTATTCTATAAGTAGTATGGTAATCTAACTAATCAGAAAAGATAAGAGATAAATTGTGCAGGTAAACAGTCTTTCACGAGACTTTATATTCATATAGTTCATTGTTTAGGGACGTTCACACTTATCAAAACTCGTTCATAGTCCTGTCAGATATCTGGTTTCAGATTAAAATAGACTATGCATGGTAGGCTACAGAGAAGTTGACCACAGGTCGTCATGACATATATTATAGATAGATTAATACTAACAGAATACTATACTAATATGAGACGCATCTGAGCTGATATTATTGTATTCAATAACAATAATACTCTATTTGATACTCTTTCTCAGCCGCCGGGAAGAAATATTCAAAAGAATATCAATAATTGTAATAAAGATAATTAATACAGTATCTGGATCCTTTCTAGTCTTGATGCTGTAGCAAATATTCAGAATATATATATCTATTATCATCCCTGTAACAAGATTACGGGAAAACTCAGTTATGATTTACGATATTATCTATTACCTATCCCTGCCCTGAAGATAAACAACACCAACTTAAGCACACATTCGCTCAAGCCTAAACAACCTCAAACTCCGCACTACTAGGCCCCGCACCATTACAAGCCGTCAAATCCATCGGACAAGCACTCATAAACACAACACACTCCTGCTCCGCCCTCAAAACCACATAATCCCCCACCTTACTGTCCGGCTCCAAAACCTTCAACTTATTCCCATTAATATCGACCTTCATGAACAAATTCAGCGGATCAGGCGTCCATCCACTCTCAAGGAACCCCAAAACACGGCTGAACGCTGGCTCAGCACACTGCTGCACAGCATCGCGAAGATTCTGGGCACAGTTATCATGGTCCGCGGTACCACCAAGTTCGAGGTATCGTTCTGGAGAGCAAGCAGCGTAGAGAACATCGTGCGTGCCGGGAGATGTGTCCTCGACGATGGTCAAAATAGGGTTCCGGTTGTTGTCGACGAATGATTCGTTAACGGATGGGAGGAGTTTCTGTAAAGTGGGTCGAGTGTGTGCCATTGACATGTATCTTGGGAAGACGGGAGTTGATGGGATGGTGAATGCCCAGGTGTCGATGACTTGGCTTCCGGAGGTGTTTATGATCTTGATTGATTGGCCGACGTGCAGTCGTTGATGAGCGGAGCGACGGGCTGGGATGGTGGGCATTTTGTATATAGTACTAGCTTATCGAAGTCTGGGTATCGTAAGGTTGACTTTCGTGAAGGTCTTGGGTCTGAGTGTAACCACGAGGTTCTAGTATGTACTAATGTATAAATGAAGATTAAAGCAGCTGTAACTCACGGGGAGAACACTGTAGTATTATAATAAGCTCAGTTTGCACTGATAAGCTGCGTGTCTCCAAAAAGAGAGGGAGGTGACGTCACGTCATTCCTCCGCGGACTCTCATATCGGGCTGTCAGGCAGTATAGCATCTCTTCTGCTGAAAGTTGCATAATCCCTTGCATCTTCTCGAGAAATTCTCTTCCTTTGTTTTCTTGTAGATGTAGCGTAGCTAGCCAGTCACTTGGCCTGATGGAGTCTCTACGATATAGCTGGATCGGTGTAGATTCCCCTTCCCCACCCTCCCATTAACCTAACCTATTTTGTATACGTCCAAACCAAACTAACCACACAACTCCGGGGTAGGCGCTTAGTAGCCTGGGTTTAGTAGAAAAGTAGTTAGAGGAAGTGACTCGGTATACTGAACCCACAGGCCCATCACTTCCTGCGGCATCTGCGGCGCTGACATGCACGAATCCACCACGGGCCCCATCTTCTCCCCTCTACCCCTCAACCCCTCCACCAGCACCACTCTCCTCATAACCCTATGACCCAAAATCTCCAGCATCATCAACAACAACAACCCCGACTTGCATTTCAAACAACGCATGCATCACCATAATGCCCCCCACCAAAACCCTCCTCATCATCGGCATAACCGGCAACCAAGGCCACTCCATCGCCTCGCGCTTCCTGCACGACCCAACCTACCACATCATCGGCCTAACCCGCAACCCAACCTCGCCCATCGCCCAATCCCTCTCCGCGCAAGGCATCGAGATCCTCCCCGCCGATCTCAACGACCCCACCACTCTCATCCCCGCCTTCCGCGGCGCGAACCTCATCTTCAGTGTTACCAACTACTGGGAGCCGTTCTTCCGCGCAGACTGTCGCAAACAGGCTGCGGAGCGGGGTATCTCGTGCCGACGGTACGCGTACGAGGTGGAGTTGCAGCAGGGGAAGAATATTGCTGATGCGGCTGCCGCGACGGTGGACTCGTTGGATGAGAATGGGTTTGTGGTGTCGACGTTGAGTCATGCGGCGGTGTGTAGTGGGGGACGGTTTGGGGAGTTGTACCATTTTGATGCGAAGGCGGAGGTGTTTCCGAATTATGTGAGGGAGAGGTATCCCAAGTTGGCGGGGAAGATGTCGTGTGTACAGACGGGGTATTTCATGACGAGTTATAGGTTGGTTCCGGGGGCTTATTTTAACAAGGTGAGTTTTGAGGTTTTTGGTTGGGGGTGTGGCTCGGGGCATTATGTGGCTGATTTATTGCGTTTAGAAGACGACGGAGGAAGGGAAGGTGTCATTTGAGATGACTTTTACGACTGCGCCTGATGCCAAGGTTCCTCATTTGGATGTTAACGCTGACTTAGGAAACTTTGTCTACGCGGTTTCGAAGATGCCACCTGGGAAGAGCTATATGGCTTATGGGTCGTATTGTAGCTGGGCAGAGTATATGAGAATCTGGGGGAGAGTGAATTCTGTTCCAGCATCTTATCGGCAAATTACACTTGAGGAACTGATTGAGCAGACTCCTGATCCGGAGTTTGGGCGAGAGGTGGGCGATATGTTTACTTATTCGACAGATCCGGGGTATGACGGCGGTGACAAGGAACTGTTGACGGCAGAGCACATACGCAATGTGAGTACCATGTGATGATTTGTTAAAGAATCCACAGCTAATATCTACAGGCTGGAATTGAGTGTCCAATGACCAACTTGGAGGAGTGGATGCAAAAGGAGGATTGGTCGTCTGTCTTAAATAGTTGATAGGCTCTGACTGGTAGATGTCGCTGTCCAAGTCTTGCTGCCTTACGACCGAGGTTCGGCCGATATAATATGAGGGACTCTTCCAGATTGCGAACGACCAGTTGACTCTTGCACTCGAGTAGGCAGAGATTGTGCCACTGCATTTCGTATTTCATCCCTGATAAGCGCAGAGAGGCTCATTTGCACGTCATTGACCAAGCGAGTGTGCATTGAATCGAGCTGGCCTGATAGGCTTGATTGCGCATTGGTATAAACGGTACTTTGCAGTTGCTTAGCAACATCTGATATTATGTCATTCTTGTGACTGGTCTCTCTGCTAGACATCTCAATCAATGTCAGGTCCTTCCAGCAAGCAGAGTCAATATCGCTAATACGTGGAACGCGTATTGTGCTCAAATATCTGACGGTCCGTTGAAGTACATTAGAATCATGGTTCCAATTTTTAATCGTGGCAAGGCGCATCACAGCGGAGTAAACTTCAAACGTGAGGTCTTCCACTTTGACTCTGGTGAGATATGGTACTTCGCGGCCATCATTTATAAGTCTGTGATACTATGTGCACTTGCTGCCGAGCTGAATCAGATCCTTGACAAGAGAAAGAAGATCAGCTGTCGCCAGATACTCAGGCCTTAGACCAACGCGCTGTGATCCAGATTTCGATTCAGGTAGTTTCTCATCGTCATAGCTTCCGCGCTGCACATCAAGGTCCATGGCAACAAGATCACTGAGATCTGAAGGACTCAGCCCTTTGGTTGCATTCTTTGGCAGGCCAATGAGGAAAGCTTGAGGTATCTGAGGAGACTCATTGACGGAGGACTTCTGTGGCGATTGCGACTCCTCCAGAAGATTTCTCATACATCCCAATATCAATGTTCCTATGTTCTGCTATGAGTTAGTAGATAATTGAAGCAGAAATAGGAATGTTCACCTACCTCAATGATGTAGTTCAGCCCAGCCCAGAACAACGCCTTGTACAGGAAGTCTTCACTTTCTAGTTCATGTTTGTCCATACGAATTCCGCTTATGTATCTCTTGATGTCTTCCAGTTGTTCAACAAATGGAACAGAAAATTGATAATCTGCAGCCAGATTGGCCTGGCAATTCTCCAGATTCCAGAGACAGGGAAGCCGTCTCCATTTGTCCAATGCGGTAGCTAGCAGCTTCTGGCGCTGCGAAAGCTCCTTTGTGATGGACTTCTGTGGCAGGAACAACTTCCTATAGGCCGCCACAGTAGAACTGTCAGTCTTCTCCATTCTCCTGTATGCTGTAGTCCAGGCCTTCTGGATTTGGTGTTTGTCCTTTGCTCCGCCAGCTTTGAGAGCTGCAATAATACCCTTGGAGACAGGTCTTGCGTTCCACGCAGCCTGGAGCGCTGTTCCGAGTCTACCAACAACCTTATTGGGACTGGCACCATGCTCAAGCAGCATTTGCACTGTTGACTCTTGACCAGCTGCTGACGCTGCCACTAGGGCGGTTCCAAAGAATCCTGCTATATGGTCGACTGCGATTCCCCCGGAATAGTTCCCCGCCTTTGGCCCACCTGCAAGCAGCAGGCTGACAATAGAATTATTTCCATAGTATGCTGCTACATGGAGAGGATTGCCTAACGTTCCATCTTCAGTTCCGGTTACTTTCGCTTTGGAGTTGAGTAGCATCTCAGTTATCGAATGATGTCCTTGAGCGGAAGCCACATATAGTGCGGTTCCATGGGGACCTTTCTCGGCGTTCACGTTGACATGCTTCAATAAGTCCGCGACGATCTGCTTATAGCCACGATAAACTGCCACTTGTAGTATTGTCTCCCCGTCAGCATTGCGTGTGTTCAAGTCCTTAGGATCAGTTTGAATCAATTCCTCGACGACCGGCCCGAGATTGAGCTTAAGTGCGTAGTGTATCCGAGAGCCACGCCTTTGTCTTCGACTCTCGGCTTGGGCCCCATCCTTGCCGGTCATAGATTGATCTCCAGGCTCAAGCCAGTCCAGCCAATTATCGAATTGTTCAGACCGGAATAGCCCACGGATCCTCCCTTGAAGCAAGGCACGCTCATTGGCCATACCGTCAGCTTTCTCGAATAACTGGTAATGTTGAAACCAGTACTCGGCAGCATAACTTCTGAGGGTCAGTTCGAATCTGTTCTCACTGGCTGTGTCCCCAGCTTTCAGCGATTGCAAAAGGACATCAAGACAGCGTTGGGTAATTTCGAAATGAGCCTGTTCCTCGGAACAAAGGAACTGCGATATAAGGCTGTGCTGCCCTAGGCGAACCTGTGTCTCCAGATACTCTTTCGCAGAGAGATGGGCGAACCGAAGAACTCTGTCGCACTTCTTGCTTTTGCGATTAATGGTTAAGGTTTGCGTAGACTGGGTTACCCACCGGCCTGTACAGATCTCGTAAACTGCATCAGCGTCATGAAGGCCAACTGCAGAGGCAATTTCCTCTTGAGTAAGCGGCCGTAGTTGTCTCAGAAGCCATATGAACATTGATCTTAAAAACTTTCCATCAATTGCGTTCACAGAGCCCAAATGCTTCTCATAAATGGCTACCATGCTGATCGGAACTTCGTTCAGTTTTGCCTCAATTTTCTTAGGGTCCTTTCGACACTCGCGTATTTCCTGAACCAACGATGTAGCCCAGAGAAAGTTCCTATGATTTGTTAGCCATAGCATGGATAGTCATTGCGGTGGACTGGTGTGACTGTACTTTTTAGCTCCTTCTGTAAGTCGTGTCCAAATACGTGACTTTAGGGAAACAGGGAGATCGCTGATGCCATCACCGTGCTGCATTGTCGTGTCAATGTAATTGCGAATATCAATTTCGAGCCCTTCCGCTACGTCAGTTTCCACAAGTATGTCTTTCAGATGTCCGCGAAGGCAATCTCGTATATCTTCTTCATTCTTGCTGACCAGGAGAATGTGTAGGTTCGAAAGTCCCGACTGAGCCAATCGTTTAATGAGTTCGAGAAGTTTGTGACGTTCTCGATCTTGTGATTCTTTTGGAACCTCGTCAAGGCCATCTAGGACTATGAAGACGTCCTTCTGTAGCTCAAGCACTGACAAGATGCTGTGCAGGTACTCGATGAGTGTCTTGGTGTCTGGATAGCGTGCGAACTTCCGGTCCTCGACTAAGGCACTAGATATCTCTTCTGGGAAACCCCCAAGGCTACTTCCCAGCTGTCGTAAGACAAAACGCAACAACAAGTCGATGCATGTAGTGTCCGTCTCATCAAAACGAAAGTACCACCGCAATAGTACCCTGTTTTTGTCTTTCTTGAACAACGTTTCGAGTTGGTTGATGATGGTCGAACTGTAGGGAATTAGCGGGCTTAGAAGTAATCAGAGGGCACTGGGCTGGCGTTTTCGCATACCATAACGACGACTTTCCACATCCAGCTATCTATACTGTTAGTGTATGCGAAACTATTTCTGGCTTTTTGAGGTTCCATACATTCACCATGCAGCCAAAGTAAGGATTGTGGATTATCCACCCAGCTTGTATATTCTCGGCGCTCAAGCAACCACCTCCCTGCTACCTCAGTAGCATCGCTGGATACAATGGCAGACCTTAGCTTTCTATGCTTGCCATCGCTGGCCGCAGCTAGATCGCTGGGGAATAGCCATTCAAGTAGCTGTGTTTGAATTTCGGCTTCAAAATCTCAGCTTATGGTTCTTGTCACCAGAAATCAGACACCGTGACGTACCTGAAAGCGTCTTATCAATCTTCACAATCCCCTTCATGATCAGAGATGTACTCTTGGAAACGTCCCCTAGAATAGTCTGGATCTTCTTGACTTGCTTCATCTCCTCCTCTTGGGCTATTAACATGTCAGCACAAAGAGCGACTCCCATGAGAAAACAGCAATCGACTTACTTTCGAACATGGATTGCTGCTGCTCAGCCATCAGTTGCCGAAACCACTTTTCCACCATCTCGTCGCTTCCCTGAATGGCGTTCTGCAAGTCTTTCAGCGGCTCCTGAGTTAGCGATTTGAAACTTTGAATAATCCGATCTAACCAGGATATTATTAGTCTTGGCATTTTTGATGATGCGAGATATATCCTTAAATACCCAATCTTTTCGATGTGACCGACTGCTTCACTTTTGCGGCATACTGTAGGACACATATATACACATTCACGATGGCGTCCCCTAATTCGGTCGCATTGGCAACCTGGACTCGGTGATAATGAGCCTCGATGCGAGAGTATCGAGCCAGGAGTACGGCAAGGTATTCGGAGGCTTCCCAAATGCGCTGCATCCGTTCCTGATTGTTTTGGATAAGCTGCAAAGCGTTAGCCATACGTCAATCTTTTGAGATATCAGTTCAATAGTCACAAACCGTCAGACCGAAGGAAACCACAGTCCATGCGATAGACGCATAGCCTGTCGGGTCGAATTTGACGACCACATCGCCGAGCGCTTGAACCGTCATGATCGATTTCAAGATAGAACTTGCACGATCATACGCGTTCCCCTTCGATTTTGACGGCCACCGCTCCTGATGAAGGCGTAGTTTGCTTTTAGTCAGTTCCATAACACCCTCTACATATTCCTTGGGCAATTTTCCTATCTTGATGTTCCTATTTTGCCACTTTTGAGTCAGACGCTTCCTATTCGCGTCGCCCACATCGACGGACGTCCAGGCTTCTTCCCACAAATTTCGTACAGGCTCGACCACGGCAGGCTTTGGTTTTGCTGCTGCTGTGCCATTGGACTTTCCCTGTACTGGCTTCGGCTTTGTAGGTTTCGTAGTTGGCGGTTTCTTGGCCTTGGTGGTTGTGCCCGGCTTGGCCTTTACCTTCACCGGCGACGGTTTCTTGGGCGGGTGTGGAGTGTCATTTTGTGGTTTGACCATTTGGCTTATTGAATCGGTTTGGGATTCTGCGAGAGTAAATGTGTGATACTAAGGGAAGAATTATCGCGAGTGAAGCTATCATGATGGAAGATCGCGTTCTTGCGGGAGATTTGTACCCCGCGCGAGGCTCTGCAGAGGTCAAGCTGATGGGGCTCGGTCTGTTTCATAGTGGGAAGAGCTAATGCCGTTCCAGGATGAGGGGACACAAACGAGTATTATGATTGGATGAATAGTATGCGTTGTCAGCTAGCTAGCCAGCGAGATACGAGGTGCCCGCTTGGCCTGCAGTGACGCCTGCAAGCTGCGGGTGACACTAGAGAAGATGTAGATATTTGTGGGAAGTCAAGTGCAGAACGACTGTCACGCGGATTAAGGATGCGAGGAATATGGGAAGCCTAGAATAGTGCCTGGAAATTACGGCAGGCGTGAAAGCGGCTCTAACCGCCAACCTTATCCTCTGAAAGACACAGGGATCACACTCGTCTTGGACTGAAAGTACCGAGAATACTGGGAATTGAGCTTACTTGGATTTTGCAGTGATAATGACAAAGTAGCTATCGTTGCATTTAATGTTATTAGTCGTGTATCAATCTTTTTCTCAGTGAATGAACACCCGAGATACGCATCTTCTTTCCACTCAGATACTTCCCCACATAAATCACCCACTTATTTTGAGAAGCTGAACTGAATATTTTGGCTCACTGATCCTCCCGTGGTTCCACATACCACGGCAAGGTAACATCCATAGTACGACGAAACTCCTCAGCCACATCTCCCTCCAACCCCCAAGCGGAGATCACCTCCTCCCCAAGCCTATATTCCCACTGCGTATTAATCCTTAAACGGGCAGTTCTGGCGTTCTTATCCCGGCTGAATTTCAAAGACTCACGACTCTCTTCTCCCGTACGAAAGTTAAGAAGCGAGAGACACACACTATCTAGTCGCGGCATTTGCCGCGCTGCCTCGCCTATGGCCTGATAGAGTACACTCATGTTGGCGCTTTTTATGTATTCCCGCCGGTTGGAAAATCCGTCTATTGCCAACAATAGATCTTCTCGTGTTAGCGGAGGATCAAGACCAAGTAACGGCGACCCTGTGCTTGTTGAGTTAGCCAAAACACATGATGAAAGTATATAGCTAGTTCGAAAAAGGAATGATATTGCAGTTTGAAAGATTGAGACCAAGCGCAGAGATACTTACCATCTATGTCGTATGGAGGCATATTGAGTACTTGAAGCTGTTCGAGATTCGGCCAATATGAAGCATTGGTGCTGCTTTCCGCTGATGGCCAGAAAAGAGCCTTGCTGATCTGCATATGACTCAAGGTGAGTGCCCGTAGCCGCATGCTCAAGGTATTTAGTCCGATTGACAGAAGATCCAACCCATTGTGATCCAAGTAGGTCAGTCGACGGTGGTATACTTCGCCTTCATGTAGCCGACGGGACCATTCTCGGCCGCCTTCTACGGAAAGATCAAGGCTCCCCACAGATTGTGGTACATGGTGAATGAAATCAATCATTTCTAAGTGCAGAAGCACGTCAGTCAGCTCACAGCAATCTCTAAAGCTAATAGAAGAAAGTAAGGTCATACCTTGTCTTAGCAAGAGACGAATCTCACCTAGAGAATCAGGTATGTATATCAAATCATGCACTGATGCATGCCTCACATTGGGGAGATAATTAAATATCAGCCGAAAGGATGACAGCAATACAGCATCTGCACACGTCCCTAGCAAATCAATCGATCTGACACATGAAGGACTAGGAAAGTCTTCAAGGTGCTTTTCTGTAAGACAAGCTGGAAGTGTCTTGGAATGACTGAACATAGTCTCCCTCAACGATGAATCTTGTGGGATACTGGGTCTGAAAGCCTTATATTCAGGACTACGGTGGTAGAGGACCAGCTCGAGACCTGGATTTCGCTTTCCCCAAATATGCAATACCAGAAACAAGTGGCGGAGCTCATTGTGGTACTGATTATCATACCATTCAAATATTGGATGATTGGAGTTTGTGTGAAATATAGGATCAGTCTTATCGGGTAAGACAATACACGGTTGCCAGAAAATATGTCGAATATAACCTACCCTGGCACACCGGTAGTCATCGCCTGTAGTATATCTGAAAAGATGGAACACCTGCGTGGGACCCAGGAGGCAAATCCTTTTCCAGATAAAGGGTTCCACACTCCTCTGCCATTGACGGGAAATAACAGAGTATTGGGCAAGGTTCGATGGTTCCCAAACTCGTATCAGACCCCACACGGGGCCTGGATTAGGATCCCAGTTTGAATGACCTTCGTCTGTGTTAATCATTTCGCGCAAACAATGAACGATAATACTGATTATCTCGCTGGGAAGTGGCTTCATGGTTTTGAGTGGTAGTGGCGTTCAGGTGGAATCGAGACTTGCTGGCTCAACAAAAGCCTAGCATTTAAAGGCCTATAGAATGTGCTCAGGTAGAGTTAGGAAAATGAACTTTCCTTTATGAGAGAATGCAAGTGGAGTGAACGACATTAGATATACCATTGTAAGGGAGCTGACTCTTACTTCGCTACGACCGTTGGATCAAGTATCACCCACATTCTGTCTCTTTGTTCCAGGGGAACATAGGTGACTTCCACTTTTACTAAAGAGTTCGATATGTATATGGAATACACCACCCTTTTTTTTCCTTTCTGTACCAAGAATGGGCTTTTCAAACATACCTGCGAATAATTAGTCCAAACATATTTAATTCAAATCATGTAGATGTCTGGAATTTTCCGATGAAAGGGTAAAAAGTATCGTCACTAAAAGTGAAGGATACCAAGATCTCCATCGATTTTGCCACCTGTCGACTCGAAGCTGCTCACTTCTCTGAATATCCCACAATTACTATTACCTGCTGCATTGCATGTCTACGTTTTGTCGGGCCGTCGGAGGAGCGTATGGAGGGGCCACTCAGCTCACGTAAGACAGACTCACTAGTTTATTCATCAATTTATCTACTAATCCCTCTCAAGGCTAGTTGCAGTAAAGCCACTGTTTATTTTGAAAGCGTGATTTGTAGATGGCGGGATTTTGATCAAACATGGATTACGTGTGCTATCAAAAGACCCTGTATTTCTATTGAGCGAGAAACTAGCACGAGCCATAATAGCGCAATCGAAATAGCAATGAGACTGAGGCTGGAATAGCAAGTGGCCCGACTCATCGAAGCGCTATCCGGCTTCTACTGCGGGTCCATAATCCTTCGAACAAGGATTGTAGCTGACAGCTTGCAGGACACATAAGCCACTTTGTTGATGCCTAGCCCGTAGAAATGAATTGAAATCACGTATAAACCATAACCCCCAACCTCCGATATTTGTTGCTTCCTAATTACTATACTTGCCAAAAGTTCCTTACTATGGCCTCACCAAGTCCCTTTTGGGGCCCATCTACTTCACATGCCAAGTTAGTATAAAGGTCATGAACCAAGTGCAAGCTAACGTTTCAAAGTTTCTGCGAGGAGGTAATTCGCTGTATTTCAAAGCAAAGAAGATTTATACGTCAGAGCTTCTAACAGGAACAACACAGGACTACGTGGTCACCAGATACATTGCCGAGTTTATCAACACTCTTACCAATCTCGTGTACAGTATGTCGCGACCTGCCGCTTCTACAAATAAATCTCATAAACAACCCAGTATTCTACGCAATATACGGAATTCGCCATCTGCATCGACAACCGAATAAGGATGTCTTCCGCGCCCTTCCCTATTGGGGCTTGATGGGTGTGGGTATTGCCTCTGCAGCTTTCCACATGAACCTCAAGTACCATACCCAAATGAGTAAGTATCAATTTTCTGCTTCACTTTTGAGATGGGCTCGCTGCTGAAAAAAGCTAAAACAGTGGACGATGTATCCATGCTCCTCACCACAACCCCGGTGCTCCACCGCGTCATGACCGTGAACACCAGTCGCAGAACCTCGACTATTTTGGCAATTCTGCTAAGCGCAGCTCTTCTGGGACTCGTAGTAGTCCACGTACTGACAGACGAGCTCATCTTACACTCCGTCAGTTTCGTAGTCAGCGTGACGATCATTGGAGTCCGTACGATGCAGCTAACCACTACCCGTACGCCAAAGAATTCTCTCGCTCGGCGGCAGATCTGGGGTATGGTGAGATTTGGAGCTGGTAAGTCCAAAGCCCCCACCTATCCTTTTCCATGTTTTCAGAACATTGACTGCAAAAGCTATATTTGAGCTGGGATTCCTCGTCTGGGTAGTTGACGGGTGGGTATGTGGATGGTTGAGAAGCTCGCGGGCAGCTATTGGTCTACCGTGGGCGTTTCTACTTGAACTACATGGATGGTATGTAGCATTTTGCTTTATCCGTCCTGATTCTTATTAACCCCGGGCTGATTATGGATATGAAACAGGTGGCACATCTGCACGGGAATTGGAGCCTACATATTCATCGCGGTCATTGATCACCTGGTGTCTGGGGAAGATGTTGAGGCCATTGAGTACTCATTTGCCTGGCCTGCACCATGGGCTTCTCGTTCTATCTTTGCGGGAAAAGGTTCAGCAGTGGGTGTCAGGTCGGAGTTAAAGACAGAGTGAGGCGAGAGCTCTATATGGGGGGTTCGAGGCGGGAGACGAAGGGATCAAGCATCAGATATGCTCCTAAGCCAAGCTTTAAGCTCAAACTCTTCAACCACTCAAGCTATGACGGTTTCCATGTTTAAGAACATTCTGTACAGTCATAGCAATGATTGATGAACCCGAAATAGGAGATAAGCTTGCACCGGAATGATATCCAGCCAATGAAGAAGCCAGACTTAGTCACACGCGGCCCACCCCTTCCAATCGGCAATGCGGCATTGAGTCAGTTGTATGCGATCGGATCCCCGCCATGCACCCCGCCGGCAATTTGCATTGCCGGTGCGCCCCGCCTTCTGGTCTCAAAAGCTTCGAACTCCTGCCAGCCAGAAATTTTCATAATCGTATTCAGAAGTAATTTGGACATATTTGAAGAAAACCAAACTTAGACGCAATGGCCAACCAGCTGCATAGTGCCCCGCCCTTCCGGGCCGAACATATGGGTTCCTTGCTCCGTCCCGAGAGCCTGCTTGCCGTGCGCGAGAAGATTCGCGATACCGGCATCTCCGAGGAGGCTGCTGGTCTGCACGCCGTTGAGAAAGAGACCGTTCGTGATGTGGTCAAGCTCCAGCGGGATCTGGGTTACAAGGCTGTTACTTCTGGTGAATTTAACCGGACTCGTTTCTGGGGACAGATGTGGGATGAGTTCGAGGGTATGGTTCATCGTTCTGATCTTATTTCTAGCGCATTGTTGGGAGCATATCACTTACTGATAAGTCAGGCACAATCCGTCTTCAGGATGCTGAAGCCTCCATGTTCAGACTCTACCACCCCGACGTGGTTAGTCTGATTGAGAAGGACCGCAAGGTCATGCCCGGTGACTCGGTGATCGCTGGAACCAAGCTTTCCTGGAACCCCGAGAAGTCGGTGTCAAACCTACATGAACTGAAGCTGGTTCAACAGGCCTTGCCTGAGAGTGAATGGCACACCATCAAGCTGACCATGATCACTCCCGCCTGGTTCCACATGCGCTACAAGCAGGGTAAGGCTTACACTCCCGAGGCCTATGCCAACGACGAGGAGTACTTCCAGGACGTCGCAAAGGTGTACCAGGCCGAGCTTGACGCCCTGTACAAGGCTGGTCTGAGAAACGTCCAGTTCGATGACCCCGGCATGGCGTACTTCTGCTCCAAGGCTTTCCGCCAGGGCTGGGAAGAAGACAAGGATAACATTGGCACCGTTGAGGATCTGCTTGATGCCTACATCAAGCTGTACAACGACTCTCTGAGCAAGATCCCTGCTGACATGCACACGGGTATTCACCTTTGCCGTGGTAACTTCATCGGAGGCAGACACTTCGCGGAGGGATCCTATGACATCATCGCCAAGAAGCTGTTCGAGAACCTGAACGTGAACACATTCTACCTTGAGTATGACACCGAGCGTGCAGGTGGCTTCGAGCCCCTCAAGTTCTTGCCCAAGAACAAGAACGTTGTTGTCGGTGTCATCAGCACCAAGCTTCGCGAGCTGGAGGACAAGGAGGCGATGAAGGAGCGGATTTACAAGGCCGCCGACTTCGTCAGCGCCGGTAGTGGTGAGACTCGTGAGGAGGCTCTGAAGCGTATCTGCGTCAGCCCTCAGTGCGGTTTCAGTACCCACGAGAGCGGATACCCCCTCAGTTTGGAGGATGAGAAGAAGAAGCTGGGTCTGACCAGACAGATCGCCGATGAGATCTGGGGACAGCCCTGAGCTCTTACAGATGTGACTGAGACGGGCGGTGTCTTCTGGCCTTCCACCAGCGAAGAAATCGTGATGATGTGAAATGAGTTATGTATTTAAACAGACGTGTCAAAGCAGCATGTGAAAAGATGATGTACATATGGGAGTGGTGAGGGGGGCATCGGTAGGCGTATTTCGATGGAATTAGGTTGGGAAACGCCCATGTGCTGTATTCCAAAACAAGTAGTCTTGTTATTGCCCCTACGAGTACAATTCTTGTGCCGACTGTTCGAAATTTTCTCCGTATTCTTCAATTTATAGCATGAACGCACGTTACCAAGCAGAACAGATACTAAACAATCACTCTACGGCATGACAGAAATGCGTCTATCTACAGAAATATCTCCTCAACATATCTCCCGCGCGGAAGGTTGCGCTTCCACTCTGCCACATCCGTTACGTCAGTCTTGCCATCGAGCCTATCCCGTTCCAGCAACGCAGGACCTAGCACTTCGAAGACCGAGTTCGACATCTTCTTCCCTCCACAGACCCTAACAACGCCGCCACTGGCCCATAGTGATACCACGTGATCGAGAAATCTCGCTATCGCAGAGTCGATGTACCTGAAATCTGCACCCTTTACACGACTATACGCTCGATGGATACTGACCACACCCTCCTTTTCATACCCATCCATCTCGTCTCGGTACATATCATCTAGATCTCTTCCGCGACATCCATAGAAGAGCAGCGCAGGACCAACCTTCTTGCCGGCCAATTGTCGGAACCTGCGCTCCTGGATGAATCCTCTGAAGGGAGCTAAGCCTGTCCCAGCGGCTACCATGACCAAGGGTCTAGAATTATCAGAAGGGAGACGAAATTCTGCTGTACAAGGGTGTAGCGCTATGTAGAGGGTCGCATGATGGCGTAAAGTGGCTAAGTGATTCGATGCGATTCCCTGTACTGCGCTAGCTTCCCCATCATGTACAACGGATCCCACGACAGTATAGGTTAGCGTTCCATATCCTGGCTTTTCGTTTGGAGAGGACGAGAAGGAATAGGCCCGTGGCCGCATAGGTGTGAGAAGAGATAGAAAGAGCCCAATGGAAGGATTAATCGTCGGGAAACGTTCCAGAAGATCCAAGACAGAAACATATTTATCTTGTATCTCGACTTTGAAGAGATCACCGGCCAAGTCTCTCAGTATTGTTTGAGTGCAACTATCAGGGGTGGAATCGGCCAAGGCAAGGATGCCTTTTGGACTGGCAATCTGCCGGAGCTCAACGTAGGCGCCGAACAGGTCCGAGGCTGAGATTGGGGTATTGACAGGGAGTCCCAGAGATTGGGATCTAGTCAAAGTGAGGAGCATATCACCCTCAAGATGGAATCTTGACAGGACACGCTGAACATTTTGAGGGCTGTTACGGGGAAGGACATAAAGATGATCACCCGGTTGGTAAGTAAACCCGTCTGGGAGACGAAGTTCCAGATGTCGCTTTTCGGGAACTCCAGGTTGTGAGAGGCACCGGGACTCTGTGATACTCGTCGGAACAAATCCCTTCCGTAGAGTGACCCGTGGTGGATCGCTGAGCATGACTTGACAACTTGACGACACCTTGACACCCTCCGCATCTCTTCGTATGTGCTCGGTGCTTCCTAACTCCGGGAACAGATGTGTGACGGACCATTTTTCAAGATCTGTAAACAGATCGCTCGTTGCGGAATCTGCTGTACCTAGAGGGGCGATCCTTCTCCCCCCTGCTCGCTCCATCTCAGCATCAAGCAACTTAGGCACTGCGAAGTACGTGCTTGCCCAGTCACGATGACCTGTATAAAATTTAGTCCTCGTGCAATTGAAGAAGACAAAAATAGGGACTCTAACCGCAGCCGAAAACGGAAAATGAAACGCCACTTAATTCGTCACGTCCTGCAGTTTTCAACCAAGCTACAAAGTCAGACGCTTCATCTGCTGGCTCGCCGTTGTAAGAAGCCGTGATAATGATGACCGGATTATCTGTTGGTAGCTTGCCGACGGCCGATCCCAGTGGTTCAATCTTGCTTCTAGTGAATCCATATTCTCCGGCATCAGCTGCCAGGCGAAGTGCCAGGGCCTCACAGCTTCCAGCATTAGAACCGTGTAATATGGTTATCCGTGATCCTTCAACAGTATTCGGACGGATTGACTGATGGTGGTTGATCAGTGGTACCTGCGAGGCTACAGGAGCGTGAAGTTTCTGGGCAAAGTCGGTCGCTCGCCTCTGACGTCGAAGACGCACCTTCATGTGGAAGCCGACAGGTCGAACTGTCATGGTTACATGGTACTTAAGCTTATAGGTCTCATCCTTAATCAAATCAAAATTCTGCAGAATCATCGCCACAGCCTATGTGTAACGTCAGCCAATATGCGTGACATTTTTTAGCGGGCCCTGATCAGACTCACAAGAAGAGATTGCTGCCATGCAAAGGGCCTTCCAATGCAGCTACGCACTCCGTTTCCGAACGGCTTCCATGCACAGGGTGGAAGCTTCTCGAAGTTTTCCTGTGACATTCGACTGGGTCTGAAATTGTTCGCATCAGAGCCGTAGGTCTCGGGGTCCCGGTGCACTGAATCAAAGACGATGAATATGGGTTGATCCTTCTTCACATAATACTTTCCATCTAAGATGTCATCCTTCAGAGGCTTAAGATAAAAACCTGGCCCCGGATCTCGCAGCCGAAGAGTCTCTCGCAAGATCGATTCAATGTATGGAAGTTTTTGGAGGTGCTCAACCATCATGGGGCCGTCCCCAATCACTTGGTCAACCTCGTCACGAGCCTTTTGAAGAACATCGGGGTTCTCAAGCAGATAATAGAAGCAGAATGAAAGTAGACTTGAAGTGGTCTCATGTCCTGCAATGAGGAATGTCAAGAGATTATCCACTACCGACTGGTCGCTCAACCGCTCTCCCGTTTTGGGGTCGACTGCAGTGAGCATTGCGTTCAAAAGATCATTCCTTTCCACGGGGGATCTGCGGCGTTCTTGAATGATCTCTTCCGTTCGTCGACGCAGATTCTGCGCATGGTCATGGAAATCAGCCATGGCCTTATGTCGGAACCAGTTGTTGACAAAATCGGGCAGATTGGACTGCGTAAAAGCATCGGTCATGACAGCTATGACTGCTTCTACGAACGGATCCTCCTTTCCGTCCCGATAAAAACTGTTGAAGCGGTAATCGATGGTACAGAGACTGATCGTATCCAAGGTCAAGGTCGTGAAGTTTTTGCACACGTCCAAAGGAAAGGATTCCCCAAGACGCGCCCATTTCAAACACATCTGCTCGCATATGTCTTTCATGTCATTGAACATCTCCCGGATCTTCATGGTGCCAAAAAGTGGCATAAGGATGCGATGTGCTATTGCCCATTTGGGATCGTCGCTTTGGGCGGTAAAGAGTCCGTCTCCAACCACCGGCTTCATCTTTTCCAGGCCGCCTGCCACCAACTTGCAAAATCGTGTTTCATCGCACAGCTCTTCTGCAATCCTCCTGCTTGTCACCATGATCTCTGTTGAGGATCCGAAAGTAAGGGCGTATATCGGGCCTAAGTGCAATAGAATCAGCACGGGAAAGTCCAGTGACGGCAGCATCTCGTTTAAACTATACCATGTGCTTTGCTCAGCCGATCAAGTGACTGCGTTAGGTTGTCTAGGTCAAAGTCTAGAATGTTTCCTAAAAGCGGAAGAGCTGAATTGTTCTGTCAGTATTATTTAGACCTGACTTTAACGGATGGTAGGGCTTACGTCTCGGGCCAGGAATTGGGATAATTTTTGCATCGCTCATGGTGCTGCCAGTTTGGTATTGTTTGATAGGATTCGTAAAGAGCAATTATATCATAGAGCTGGATTCACTTCTTGACGACTATCTCTTGTGAATATAAACATACGACAAAAATGGCCAACTTCCGATTTACTTGGACTGAAGTAGGCAATTGCACGCAGTGGGTTCACAGTACGATACTGGTACTTAGGCTACTATTCATTAAGTCCGTACCAATTGACATTACTTACTACCATTATCTCAACCAACCCCCCGGATATTCAGGACGTACAAAAGAGACAAGAAGGGGAACGTCCGATCGGACTTTCGGTCACCACTTTCAGAGGTCCGCGCCCGGATATCCTAATTGGGTGTCGGCTAAAAAACGTGTCCTGGCAGTCACCCCTTTATCCGACAAGTCTCCGTAGCGTCTCAGTCCCATCGCTCAGGTCAAACGCCAGAGGCAGTTGAAACGTAATATTTTTGGTCATAGTTAGGCTTTATCGTTTGACGCGATGTCGAGAGGGGTATTCTTGTTTTCGAAAGTCACATACAGCAGCCATACGCAGCATTATGTTTGATGTGCAAGGAAATGTACCAAATAGTCCTGACTGACATTTATCTCTTTTGTATGGGTTGCTAAGTAGGCTTAGTATGCTCTGGTGGCAGGTGGCTCCAAGGGTTTGGGAAGAGAAATCTCACTGGCGTTGGTAAAGCGAGGTACGTCGAAGGACTGCACCGAGAGCTCTTAAGCGTTGCCACTGACTCTTTGCTATCAGGAGCTCACGTGACAGTGATTGCGCGCTCTCAAGATGCATTGGATAGGATCAAAGTGGACATGGAAGCGGTACGCGTGCATGGCGATCAAGTCATCGGTATCCAGAGCTTGGATTTGACCAATAGTGAAGAAGTTTGTACAATTGAATTGCGAGTCTATCTCAACGAAACTTTCACTGATGAGATATACTGCTTGGCTAGGTGTCCAGATTTGTCCAGACATTTGGAAACAAGATCACCGCTCTGTTCTGTACCGCAGGTGGCACGGACGAAGAGGTGGGCCACTTTGTGGACATCCCTGCGACCTCAATTCAGAGCTGCATGGAGAAGAATTATCTTACAGCAGCGTTTGTTGCTCAGGCTGTCATGGGGACATGGACGACTGAGTTGAAGCGGGTAGGAGAGTGCGACGGTGCCCAGAAATCTCGCCACATTGTTTTCACTGCTTCCACAGCAGCCCTCGTCGCTGTCCCAGGATACGCTGCATACTCACCATCAAAGGCAGCGATCCGAGCATTGGCCGATTCCTTGAGGCAGGAAAGTCTCATGTACCCCCCTGCTGGGGCGATACAAGTTCACTGTAGCTTCCCTGGGACATTTTACACGGACAGCTTCTATAGAGAACAGGCGCGGAAGCCGCAATTATGCAAAGAAATTGAAGGAACTGTTAATGATGGTGGTGGGTTGACAGCCAAAGATGTTGCTCAGCGTGTTCTTGTTGGACTTGATTCGGGGTGTTACTTCATACCCACGGATCTGCAAACCCGGTTGCTCCTGAATAACATGCGAGGTCCCAGCCCACGGGACTACCCATTACTTGACTGGTGCATGGGCTGGGCTGCCTCGTTGGTCTGGCCAATTATAGGAACTTATCTAGACTGGAAGGTAGCAAGGTCTGGCGGCGGAACTGTATAAAAGCCTTACCAGAAAGAGACATATCCTGGCTTCTTACGTCTATGGGTTTAATCTACGATGCTATGAATTCTATCTTAGATTGAGATGCAGTCATCTTCTTTTAGATTACCGAACTCTAGTGGCTTGCTGGGTGCGATATTCATGAATTTGCAACTATGCTGATGAAAACCAACAATTTGACGCCCTTGTCTTTTCATTTTTGTGGTCTAATAGCAAAAAGTCCCTGAACATACTGCTCAGATAGAAGACTCCGAAGTGGCTTCCCTGTCCGATTTGTTGGGATCGTATCGACGAAAAAGACCTAATAGCCGTTGACATGTCAGTGTAATCTTATGAATGAGGTTGAGCGAGTCACTGCTACTACTTATAGATATAATAGAAGGGGGTTTCATACAGCTTTAGGCACCTTAAACATGGCCACGTGTTGCCGAAAATGTTTCTTAAGGGCGGCTTCAGTGACTTGTTTCCCAACTTCAATGACCGCTGCAACACCTGTAAGAATAGATGGTCAATGATGAACGACAGACCTGTAGTGAGAAAAGCGATCTGGTGGGTTTATGACATACCAACTTCCTCCCCATATATCTCGTCTGGGATTCGAAAGCATACCGACTCCCTCACCCCCTCAAATGATGAAGCGACATGCTCAATTTCGCTTGGACTTATCTTCTCTCCACCCTTGTTAATAATCTCTTTAATCCTTCCAGTTAACTGCAGATACCCATGCTCCTTGACTACCCCCAGGTCGCCCGTGCGGAAGAAACCACCAAATAAGAAGGCTTGTTCGTTCGCTTTGGGGTTGTCCAAGTATCCAGTCATTATACTCTTGCCGCGCACACAGATCTCCCCAACTATTCCAGGCTCATTTGTTAACCTACCCGCGTCTGGATGGTTTCCTGCTCTACCCTCGCTTGGGAGTATCATTACCTCCACGGTAGATGCGATAGGGTAGTGTGCCAGCCGGCGCATCGAACTGTCAAGCCTATTGCAGAAGATAGCCGGTGCTGTTTCTGTCATCCCGTAGACCTCAATTACTTGCGTCCCAAGCTCATGAAGGCGCTGGTATAGCTCCGGAGAAAGATCGCTACCGCCAGAGCGGATAAAACGCAGTTTAGGCATCACATCTGGCCGGGGAAAGGAGATCAGTAGTCGGTACAAAGTAGGTACTGCATGAAACCAAGTCGCATTTAGGTCTATGCAAGACTGCCAAAATTGACCTGGTAGGGCCGGAGGAATAATGACGCACCCTCCTGAGAAGAGGGAGGTGAGAAGAGAGCCACCGACACCTATAATGTGGAAAAGTGGAGTAATAATCATGCACCGATCTGCAGGAGACAGCTTATGGGCATCGATTATAATGCGCATCGCGACAAGAAGGTTTTCATGACTGAGAGCAACGGATTTAGGCGCTCCAGTAGTGCCACTAGTGAAGAGCAGGACCGCCTTATCAGATGGCCGTAGATCGTATGGCGAGTGGATTGGCACGTGTGACTCTGCTCCTGAAGAGCTATGTTCTCCTTCGATATAGATATTTGGTCCCTCTGTCCTGCAGATAGCTACAGGAATCGCGAGATCTTGTGCAGCTAGGACGGAGGCAGATATCAGGTGCGTGCTTTTCATAGAAATAAGGAGCGATGGCCGCATTAAGCGGAGTATGTCCTTTAATTCCTCCCGCTTGTATTGCGGATTCAACGGCGCGGCTGTAGCTCGTTGACGAATCACAGCAAGAAAAGACCCAACAAATTCGAGCCCGTTAGGGAGAACGAGTGCAACCCTTGTGCCTTCGCCAACCCCAAATTGAGCGAGAGTGCTTTGTACGCGAGTGACCGATTCATTGAGGTCTTTGTAGGATACAACTGTCGAAGGGGCATTTTTCGTAGAAGGTATGATGACTGCCGGCCGTTCTGAACCTTCGGCCGGTAAAGCGAGAACCGGAGGTAGGTTAGCCGCGGCGGATGGCTTATCGTCGTATGTCATCAGGACTGGCTCCAGAAGTAATATCCCAGAGGTAATGTAGATACTATGGGTAACACAAAGGTTTTCATGCACTGAGCTGGGGTATAAATGGCACCATGTGGGTAGATTGGACCACTACAGTAAAGGTATGAAGCTTGACTAAGTATGACGGCGTTACGAATAATTCCAATTATTCGGATATACTACATGACTGCATGGGTAACCGATAGAGGGCCGGTTTCCACATTGGGCACCGGAAACATTAAGCTGAAAATCGGAGAGGAAGCTTCATGAAGGCTCACTGACCTACGCATGACCAGACTTAAGCAAATAGAGGACTGGGGCCGAATGTGCTATAAAGTGATCTTATCATATTTGGTCAGACCGTAATTCCGCTATCTATGTATCAAATTGAAACAAAACACAGTCAAATATGGGAAGCAGCGCGGAGTCCATTATTCCTTACTTGCCAGGCTCAGTCTTGCCCATCGTGAGCCATGGCCTTCCATTCGAAGAAGCGTGTGTCAGGCATCTGAAACCTACTCTGGGTTGCAGTAAGATATTCGTCCTAGCAAGTGCCTCCCTAAGCCGTCAGACAGATGCTTTGATGCGGCTAGAGGAAGCTCTGGGAAATATGGTAGTGGGAAAGAGGCAGGGGATGAAGCCACATGTGCTCCTGCCTGAGGTCCTCGAACTTGCGGTCCAAGTGAAAGATTCCGGAGCAGAGTGCCTTGTTACATTGGGAGGCGGAACTCTGGTAGATGCAGCCAAAATAGTGGTGTTTGTAAGATCCATTTTAAGGTGCGAGGAATGCCAATGGATCTGACTGACAATACATCAGACACTCAAGAGGGGAATCACAAATACGGAGGCCCTACTATCCGAGATGCACGAGAGCTTGCAATTTAAATCCATTCCGCCTCCCTGGGAGCCAGATCACAATTCAACACCATTAAAGATCGTTTGCATACCGACCACACTATCTGGTGGAGAGTTCAACCTCCCGATCTCAGGAGGAGTCGATCCAATAACACTTCACAAGCAATTGCTATACGATCCCACTACCCCAGGGCCATCTCTAATCATATGGGACCCATATTTGACTATGACCACGCCCCTTCATACATGGATTAGTACTGGGATTCGGGCTGTTGACCACTGCGTGGAATCTTATGCTGGTGGTTCTCGGGTGAATGCCGAAGCCCAAGACTGTGCGGTGCGAGCGATTCGCTTGCTCCTTCCCGCGCTTCTACAGACGGCGAACGCTCCAGATGATTACGCGGCCAGACTAGCTGCCCTGGAAGGTAGCATGTTGGCAGTTAAGGGCTCGTTCTTTTATGACGGCCCTGCTGGAGCAAGCCATGGAATCGGACACCAACTTGGCCCTCTTGGAGTGTCTCATGGTGATACCAGCGCCATTCTACTGCCAGCCGTTGCAAGATTCAATAAGCCAGCCGTTCAGGCACAACAGGAGGCGTTGCTGAAGGCTGCCTTCTGGTCTGAATCTACAATTAATAGGCTACTGTCAGAAGAGGGGCTAGAGGAAGGTACAGCCGACCTTAGTCAGGTCTTGGATACAATTATCAGAGCCTTGGGCTTGCCTAGAAACCTGGAGGACGTGGGGATTGGTAGGGACAAGTTCTTACAGATTGCGGAAAGTAGTGTGAAGGATCGTTGCTGTCGAAGGAATCCGATCCCCCTCACAGACCCAGCATCAGTGGTGAATATCCTTGAGTCTGTAGGCATGGTTTAGCACGGAAGAACAGCAGACTGAACGTCGGGGTCGCGAGAGGGTCTTTCCGTTATGATGCATTGCTGAAAGTTTGGCTTTCGTCCTCTCCCAAAGTTCTTCTTGTTTCTCAATCATTTCCCTGGAGAGTGGTATCATCTGTATCATCTGTATCTCCGGTTCATCGGGACCCGGCTACTCTTCTGAGCCTTCCGAAGCTCTGTAAATGGTAATAAACATTTCGTTTGGAATGCATCCGATAGCCAGACGCCTTCCCTACATAATTCCCCATTGACCAGCTCGATATCAGTATCCAATCCAACCATAGTCTCACTTGACACTCATCAATAGATCGAACAGTCGAAGCATCATGTCTCAATTGGAAGTTCCTCAAGCGGCAGTCCTAAGAAATGCCACAGCCCTGAGAGAGGTTACTGTGACTACCCCACTCGACGAAGTCTTTGACGCCTGGCACGAAGACGGGGCAATAATAATCAAGGGTATCCTTTCCACAGAGCAAGTGAATCAGCTTGAAAGCGAGCTAGATCCCCTTCTGAACAAAGTACCGGAAGGATCGCGGTCATCCGATTATCGCATGCAGGCTTTTCACGGCCGCAAGACAAAGCGTGCCGGGGATATCACGAACAACAGCAAAGTCTTTCGCGACTACCTACTCGACAACGATTTTCTCCACGCTGTTTGTAAGCGGACCTTCAGTGAAGGTGGTCAAGCCGGTGATTATTGGCTGGGTACGGCGGCTACTATCCACGTTGGCCCTCATCAAGAACCGCAGACCCTTCACCGTGACCTGGGCAGCTATCCGCCTTACAAGAAACTAGGACCGGAAGGCACCGAGGCGCAGATAAACTTTCTCATCGCGACAACTGACTTCACTGAAGCCAACGGGGCAACCCGTGTGATCCCCGGCAGCAACAAGTGGGCGTTCAGTGAGCGTGGAAGTCCAGAGCAGACCATCCCGGCGGAGATGCAGGCAGGTGATTGCCTTTTGATTAGCGGGAAAGTGGTCCATGGTACTGGGAGAAATACGACAGACCGGGTGAGAGGCTGTCTAGCTATGACAGTTTGTGCCAGCTTCCTTACTCCAGAAGAGGCGCATCCATTCATTGTCTCAATGGAAACAGCCCGCGCGCTTTCTAGCCGTGCGCAGCAATTTCTGGGATTTCGGTCCCAGTGGCCTCGTGGTTCGCCCGGTTTGTGGACCAAGGATTACTCTGAGCTAGCTCTACACTTGAAACTTGATGATTAGTGTATGCTACACAGGTTACTTCTTGATGATGACAGATCCTGGATGAACTGAGGATCGATATTGCTAGGTAGCACTTCCCGATGAGAAGCTCGCGCAATTGAACGTATTCCCACTCAATCCATATCTAAATACAGACTTAGCCGAATATGCATTTCTGCCACCCCACGCTCTGTGGCTACCGTATGAGTAGACTGGTAACTCATTTCATTGTATTCACAGCTCGGTTAAATTGTGCGCTTAGATCTACGACGGTTGCCCCATTTGCTAGCCGATGCGCCATCCAAATGCTACATCAGGGCCCCGCAATATGTTATCGAGCGACATAGCTCAAATCTGCATGGTTATGTTTCCGACGGACCGATCGGATGTGGAAGATGGACGCTTCTTTTGCTCATCGGTCTCCGGCTATCAGACGAGCTTCTTTTCCGGTCCGGTACGCAGAGGGGCTACATTCACTTCTCGGAGCGTTGAGGAGGCATAGAAGCTGCCTCAAAATTCACCCCTCATGCTTAACAACGGTAATAAAAAGGTTTATGAACTGGGTAGATTAGGGAGGTGTCTTTCTAAAGAGATTATCTAACAGAGCCTGTTGCCTTCACCGCCTGAATACCATCATGTCAACCAGTTCCACCTTTACCAAGGGTATGACTGAGAGTGTACGCCTGGATCTGACCCGCCCAGATGACCCCCCTGTTGCAGTGACGGAGAAGCTACGCTTCTTTTTATGGGTTGCAAGTATTGCATTGGGCCAGGCGTACCGGGACTTGAAAGCATGGCGTCTATACAGGCCATTTCAGACGGCAGACCTAGCAATCCATTACTTTGTGAACCTTCCAATTTATCAAACACCCATTGCCTCTTACTGACCCCTGCTGCACCATCAGTTCCTTCCCATAGGGCGTATGGACCCAAGGCTTATTCTCGGCGCACCTAAAAGCCGTATGCTTGTTCGAACCATCCCCGAGTCAGTGACAAGGGATTACGAAGAACTAGATGATCTCTCACAATGCCCGACACGAGAGGTTGTCAACGCAGCCTCCAATAATTACGGCGGCTTCACTCATTACGAGCACCGGAGCGCTGAACTCATACAGTCGACACTTAGCCAGCTGCCGTTCAACCCAGCGCCTATGAAACTTGAAGCGCGGGCTAGGAAGGACTTGGCTGCATACATGTCTGCCGAAGTCTGCGTTACAACGACATCTGGATTTGGTGCAAATATTTTGGCTTTCAGGACCGTGGCTGAAACTGCTGCTGCATTATCTCGCAGATGCATCTTCTTGATGGACCGGGACTGTCACAGCTCGATGTTCACTGGGGCCTTTATGAACGAACGTGCCACTTCCTATAGGTTCAAGCATAATGATCTTGGGGACCTGGAATACAAGCTCCGGCTACTCTACGAGAAGGCTCCGGATGCTTTTGTCTGTGTAGCAGTTGAAGGGCTTTATAGGTGAGTAGGCATCCCATAGCCTCTATAATACCTACAGTGAGGTTGGGCTTAGAGTCTGACATGAGATCATAGTATGGAGGGTGTCGTATCTCCTGGACCGGCACTCTTGGCACTAAAAAGGCTATATGGATTCTGTCTGCTAATTGACGAAGCCCATGCATTTATGTCGATGGGCTCTGGTGGACGCGGTTCGTTTGAGTGGTGGCAGAATCGAGGCTACGACTGCCCATTGAGTGATGCCGATATTATCACAGCTACTTTGTCTAAAAGTGTTGGCTGCACTGGAGGATTCGTCGCCGCAAATGGTATCTGTGCCCAACAGCTTAGACTTCAAGATGAGCTGTTATCACACGAAGGGGCAGAATCTTTGTCCACGGTAGCTCTTGTACGGACTTTAAGCCTGCTGAAAAAGACCCGTTTGATTGAGTATCGCATGCGTCAATTGAAGGCCAAAGCGGGATTTGTGCTCCAGAGACTCACAGAAGCAGGATGCAAGGTCCTCTCCTCTCCAGATTCAGCCATTATATGTTTTCCTGTCGGTGAGTTGCAGTCCCACTCGAGATTATTTCGAAGAACCTTCATGCTCATAACACCCAGGAACTGTTCGACAGGCGTCAATGTTTCATGCAGAGGCCCTCAAGAGGGGCTTTGCCGTAGCCTGTGGTGTGCCACCAGCTACACCTCTTTGGTAAGCTTCACAAATGTTGCTTAAGGAATCTGCTGACGAAACAGGGCCTGTCGAATTCGAATGTGCGTGTTTGCTACGTCCTCCTGGGCTGACATCCTGAATCTGGTCAACGCAACGATCTCAGTGGCTTGCAAACTAAATATCCATGGGATCAAACCCATGGTATTGGATGAGAGCTGCCTTCCTTACGATAGTGGGGAGCCGCTAGATGTAGCTGCAGAGAGTGAGGCGACAGATAAAGAGTTTCATGATTATATTACCACACTCAGAGTGTCCGATATGCCTTCCCAAGATCTTTTTCCTGCGCCCCACCAAAAGGAGGTTGTATTCGCCGGGCAGGAGGCTTTCAAGAAGTATGGAGTTGGGCCGTGCTCGGCACGGTGGTTTTACGGATCGTTTGACATATTCGTCACCCTGGAAAGACGCCTAGCGAAATTATACCCCTCCCTCCAAATTCACATGGGTCGTTGTCGAGGTAAGGTTAAACTTGCTCTCTAACATTTTTAAATGTCTTCTGACTCTGTGAAGGCATGATCTGTGCAGATACTGAAGTCATGCTGGTGTCCCTCCTTAATGCCTGCTCCGAGCCAGTCTACTCACAGGAGATACTTAATCTGGTCTTAATCCCGAGCGATGCCCCATGTTCAGTCCGAAATGGAGCCAGGCTGCACAAGGCTAGCCAGCGGTCTCGAACCCAGGTTTACGAGACATTGAGTGACTTGATAATACCAACCGAGCAAGTCTCATGGACAGGCCAGAATCTGCACTTGACGATTTATCTACAAACGGTGCAGGGAAACAGCATCCTCGACCTAGGGCAGAGAGTACAGACTATTCTTGGCATGGTAGGAGAAGACCGAGTGAAAGGACTGGCCCTTATTCTGGATGATCGACAGGGTCTGGGCAAAATCGGACCCCGGAACCTAGGGTACCTGGACCTAATGGAGCACCAACACGGGAAGACCTTTTTCCACACTGCCCTAGGGCCTACAGCAGAGAAAACAACTGTTTTGATTACGGGATCTTGGTTCGACAGTTTCGGGCACCAGGGAGGATATATTATCGGTGGTGCTTCAATGATTGAATCTCTGACGGTGAAGGCGAAGGCCTTCCTGTTTTCCACACCACCGATGCCCGTGCAAGCGGCTATGTCTGACCGGGCTCTGGAGATACTTTCATCGGCTTCCCCAGAGTCGTCGGATCGAAGTTATGATTTCGAGCAGAATCCATTACAACCCCCTGATGAACCGGACTACGCTGCACATAGTTCCGAGTGCTCTGGTGAATCCGGTCTAGACCAGCTTCTGATCCGCAAGGATAGCGCCATTGTGTTCGTGACTGGGGAGCTTGAGAGCGATTCAGACGAGGCCAAATCAAAGCTGTGAGAGGCCCGAGCAGCCCTTCAGTCATGTCCTTCATCATATGACTGGCTGGTTGTGCTTGATCTCCCAAGGCCTCCTAGGATAAATAAATACGCATTCAACAGTAATGCCTAATACATTGGGTGAAAATGTAGATTGTGATGTAGATCTCCATGTTAGTGGACCGAACAGTGTTTCGGATGAGGAAAGTCCGAGCAGAAGACCTTCCGTTCGGATACCAAATGCGGTAAACGATTCCTACTTAGACCTCATATATGCGAATTCGCACCATAAAAATGCCTCCATTCCGTATTTTAATCGACATAGAGTCCAGCCTCCAACATGAATTATCAGCAAGGGAAACTAGTCCTCATTACCGGAGCCACCGGGCATGTTGGCCACGCTGTTTTGCTCCGTGCCCTCTCGGCCGGATACCAGGTACGAATTACGCTAAGGGAACCCTCCAAGGCAGCCCTTGTCCGGGACTCGTTACCTGGCAGGTACCACCTGAACCGACTCTCTTTTGTCACCGTCTGCGACCTCACTCAACGAGGAGCCTTCGACGAAGCCCTACAAGATGTGTCCTACATCATCCATATAGCAAGCCCCCTACAACGTCCCACTTACACCGACTACAACCGAGATATCATTGCGCCAACTGTCCAAGGAACCTCCAACCTCCTGCACTCGGCCCTGAACCACCCTACGGTACAACGGATCGTTATCACCTCGTCTACATCTGCCATTCTAGACATCAACCCTACCAATAATCTACCCCTCACACCCTCGGACCACCCCATTTCGACAACCCACCGCCACCCTAACTATGGCCCGGACTTCATCACAACCTCCGAACACGCCTACATAGCCGCCAAAACCGCTGCCCTAAACCTCGCAAGCGCTTTTCGTGCTCAAAATTTGCCCCATTTCGACATCATCCATCTTCTCCCGGGCTACGTCTTCGGACCCAAGGGTTTAGCCACTACCCCCCGGGAAGCTATCAGCGGAAGTAATGTGTTCGGAATCGGGCTGGTGATGAGAAAAGGGTCATGGAGAGACTGGGTTGTTGAGGCAATGTCGTGTCATGTGGATGATATTGCCGAGGCGCATGTCAATGCCCTTGATCCCAGGGTAGCAGGGAATCAGGACTTCATATTATCTGTTCCATTTCGGCCGGAGGAGGTGAAGAGCATTATCCGAAAAAGGTTCCCTGAGGAAGGAGACATGGTCAAAGAGGGTATTTTTGCGGGTGGAAATGAGTATTACCGTTGGTTTCATGTTTCTTATGATGTGAGTAGCAGTGAAGAGATGTTGTTGGGCCGAAAGTTGAGGGGCATTGAGGAGCAGATCGTTGATTCTGCGAAGCAGGTTCTGGCTTTGGTTAAAAACTAGTAGGGAGGTACGAGATATATATATATATATCTCTCTCCAGAATGGTCAGTTGGGAGTAACATCAGTATCAGCGGTAATTAGTAGATGGATTTTGTGAGGCTTTTCTTTTTTGTTCAGTGCTAGTTATTTATATACACTGTTGTACTCGAGATACCTTATTTACCCCAGTTACACAGCAGCTTACGTGGAGATTTCAGTGGTATGAGATGGTCCATTGTAAATTGCGATAACTCTCGTCTTTGCACGGAAGTTTATCATGTTATAATTTGTGGACTGATTTTCATGGCAAATAATCAACTTCGGTAGTTAATTGAGCAGGCCAACCTACTAGTATGGTCGTCCTACGCCAGTAAGCCTCCAACAGTTGTCATCTCATCTGCGCCCGCTAGAACATCCACCATATGTTTCAAGTCATGAAACAAGGTTGCGGCCTTCTCATGGCTCACTAGAGAAGACTGATAGTACATCTTCAAGCGAAAAACTCCTTTCTGCTGGTGAATGAGAAGAAGAACCGGCCAGTCACTCTTCATATCATAGTCCTGTAAGTCACGCCGTGTAACCATTCGCCAGATGTCGCCCTTTTGTTCATCGTCTGTGTATCCTTCTGGCATAGCATAGAGCTCAGACTTGAGGTTCACGAGTGACTGCACAAAGGGCCGACCATCCCCAAGGTTATATACCCCAGGGATGAGACCCTGCTCCCACTGAGCGGTGGCAAGGACCTCATCCTGCACGCGTTGCACGAGGTCCTCCACGCGCTCATTGTATTGCGTCAGGTCGATACGGAGCGGCGTAGCACTGACCAGAGGCCCCACCATACGCCGAACGTCCTGGTACGGGTGGGAGCGACCATGCCGACACAGCCCAAAAGTGATATCTCGTAGGCCAGATAGCTTTGCCAAAGCAAGCGACCAGGCCGCAAGAATCAATTGTGTGTGTGAGGCAGTCTGTGACTGAGAACTAAAGACTGATGCCGGAACGACCTCGATGATTTCCCCGTCGAGCTCCCCAGGACCTTCTGGGCATAGGGAGTGAGGATGTATGTTTGCGAGATTAGAGCCATTCAGATATTTTTCCCAATATTCGCTTACCGCATTGTCGGTCCGCGTTTCATGGAGGTGAGTGACAAAGTCGCCAAACCAGGGACGCTCGGGTTCCTGCAAATAGGTTGCTGGAGAATGCAGAATATGCAACATCTCTTTCTCGATTAAATAACGTGAGAAGGCATCACAAAACATGTGGTGGATACTGATGATAAAGAAGTTCTTGCCGTGGATATCGTCGTTCATGATGAGACAGTACTGAACTGGGCGTGCTCCTGGGGTCATCTTAAGGGTCATCGTGTGTTGCATGTATTCCTGGATATTGGTGCTGTGGACCCATTCCGACAAGCTATGTTCAAGAGCCACCTGAATATATTCGTCTCCGGCTTTGACGATGGTGGTCCGAAGTATTGGGTTTTTATTTTCAAGATGCTGGATGAGCTGCTGTAGGCCATTCAATAGCAGAGGCCCTTCCACCTCGTAGACGTAATTGAGTAGTCCTACATTTCCTGCCATGGCCAGAGTCATGAAAAATTCTGTTGCATTTTAAACATCCCCCACTAGAATTAGTTCTGCTATGATGCATTTATATCGATGATGTTGGGTCTCACCTTGGATTGGCGTTATCCGTGCTGCTTTGACCACTGTCCTACTTTCGAGCCCCGAATCCTTGAGGGAGGCTTGAAGATCCGTAATCTTTATTCCAGGAGCGATGCAGGCCAATTCCTGGCGCTCACTAGATACAGTATTGGACGGTGGCTGGGTAGCGACGTAGTCGTTACCTTTAGATGAGGGGTCAATCTGCGTTTTTCCGGTGTTGTCCTTGGCCCAACTGTAAAACTCGCTCAGGGTTGGGTCTATATAACCAAGGATTAAACGAGGGCTGGAAGAAATTTAGGCCAAATTCCAGTACAAAGGTTGGCACGTACATTTGTACAGCATGTCTAGATCAGTGTCAGGGGCCAATAGAGCTGTTTCACCCAGTAACTGAATGGCTTTAACCTTTATATATGAGAGTCAATATGAGGGATTAGAATCTATTTCGATCTATTCTGGGTCCGAACATACCGAATCACCGCCTACTATTCAAATAAGCAGATGGTAAAATTAGTAGGTCTTTCGGAAGTAAGAACGGTGTCCTACGCTCAAAGAAGCTGTCTGACTCTCCAAACTCGTCAACACCAAGACAGAGCACATCAGCCCAAATCTGCTTCAACCGGTCCATTCTGCTGGAAAGGTAGGGAGAGAGGATGATCGAAAGCTTGCAATGATTTGGTTCAGAGATTGCTGCAATGCGACAGTATGTGTCCTACCATCACCCTGGAGGGTGCGACTGGATATCAGAGCCATTACTCGGCGTATATCGGCTCGTGGCTGACACATTGGGCGCCGGGGCACCGTGGTCGGTTGACAAGAAGGGATATCCGGGAAATCCGATTACCCAATCTGGTACCGAGCCTGAGGTTTGCTACAGGTGCAGAGTTTTAGTACCATGCTTGTGCATAACATCACGCCAGATTTCTATGAACAGCTAGGAGGCGGGTAATATTGAGCCAACTATTCTTGCAATAGCACTTAACTCTACATCGTAGACTATAATCTCAACTCTACATCGTAGAATATAATCTCAACTCTACATCGTAGAATGTAATCTCAACTTTACATCGTAGAATATAATGAGAAATTTTAACCCAGGCTTGCTTGGGTTTAGCCTCTCCTACTAAATTATGGAGTTGCTTGGCCTGTGAGCTTCCGTTTTAGATTTCTTGCCGCTCGAAATAGTGAAATCGATTGGAGTAGCTATTCAACGACAGGAAACTTGGAAACCCTTGTTCCTCGCATGTACGTTAGTGTGGGCAACAAGGTCTTCCATTCTTTCAACCACACTGTACTGCTCAATAGGAAACGGGGCATTTGGCCGATATATGAATCACAATTCACACATCATAACAAGAAAGGAAGGAGAACATGGCTATCATCAATCATTTTCCTATGCATCCATCTTTCAGATGTTGCTGGGCGAACTTGATCAGTTCGGTGATTTCATCAAATGGCACATCGGCGTCGAGTGATAGTCTGCCAAAGAAACCCGATGCTATTCCGATGTAAGATAGATCCTTCTGGCTATTTCCCTTTCTGATGAGGATGATGAACAACACACAAGTGGCGATGGATGGGAAATAATACAGCGACCTACCATGTCAGGATATTAGGTTCAGATCTTCTTGGCACTTATGTTATTGACTTACCAGTCATACTGCACGTCGGACAGACTGATACAGTAACAGGCACTTAGAATAGTTCGAGCTGACTGACAACATATTTCCTCATCCCACTGAGTGTTGCTCTGACATGACTGCAGGATTTGGATTGCAATCACCGCACCGTGGTACCTATACAGATTGCTGAGTCTGAGCCGGCGATCTGTACAGGTCAGGGTCGAGTAATTCATCATTCTGTTACTCGGAGGAGTATCGCAAGGGAATGGGAGCTCTTTTCCCCAAGCTTTCAGGGCCCTTTCAAGGATCTCAATGGAGTCGACGGTGTCACTGCACTCGCCTTCGCAACAACAAGAGCCCCCACCGTATAGCCGTCTGAGTATACGAGAGCACAAACCAGCGTACCGGCTGTTGATCAAGAGCCAGTCCGATTTACCGAATGAATTAAGGAGCCTTGGTGGGGTATGGTCAATGAAAGCCTCGTTGACCAACTGCATATTTCTCTGTCAAAGTTGCAGCCTTATAATGCAGAGACGTGCGATCTTACTGGAAAGGTACCTTCTCTGAGACAGTGCGGCTTCTCAAGGCAGTATAGAAACCAAAAAGCGCGCCTCGCAGTCTCTTGCTCGATAGGACCAGCATGTGTCCGTTGGATCGCGGGGGTACTGTTGAGACGAAGACCCTGAGCACAACAGGTCGCCTCCGCTATCAGCGAAGATGCCAAAATGGACCCTGTTCTACTGGCAAAATAGGACTAATAAGACACATCAGTATCTGAAATTTCATATACACGCGGGTCAGTATAGCTAGTGTACCATCACAAGAAGAGACTGCATTGCCCGATTAGCACTTCTTCTCCCTAAGGGACTTTTGGACTCACCTGAAGCTTTTCTAGGGATGCTTCAGCGGGTATTTGATGTCTAAACTTCAATGCCTTGTCAAAGAACTGGGACACTGGATAATTAGCCCTTGATGCTGAACTCGTAGAGTCTTTTAAATTGAGGCAATGGGACCCAATGGCGAGAATAGCATTGAGAAGTGTTAGACCAGCAGGGAAAACGGCTGCTTTATCCATTACACGGTCGATCAGTCTTTCTAAGTCTTCTCTATCGAGGAGCGTTGGTACACTGCTGACGGTCAGCTACACCTTGTGCTTGTGTTTAGTCCAAGCTCCCTTACCCTTGGGGGTCGACATAGGAAGCTGTTTGACTGTATCAGTTTGTCACAGCTGAAGCATAGTCAGACAAGCTATCAGGGTACCAGCATACCGTCTATACATTTGTAGGCGAATTCTCGGCTATAATTCTCTGTTCCTTCTTCAGACTTTTCTGACGAAGTGTTTCCATGGCTTTCTCCATGTAGCAGCCGGAATCGACCAGCTGCCAGCCTATCAAGGACCTGTATAAGCTTCGCTCGCTGTGGTCTGCTCATGTCAATGTCCTCCTCGAGCACAAGTGAATGAAGCTTTCCTGTGATCGAATGGCCTTGTGTTACTTGGTCAGAAGCCTGTCAGATATTGCAATACCCAAACTCATGCCACGAAGGCTGCCATACCAAGAGAGCGTGATTGAAGTGCCTGGACTAAAGTTCAGTGGACATAACCGTAAAGGTTACTCGAGGCATTTTACTGACCACTAAATCTGCGGTAAACCCTGTCGGTTTATCTTCACGGTACCGTGTACCGTCGAATGACAATGATGGACCAGCATCACTTCGAACCCCCGCAGGTTCGAAAGGGGCGAAGGCGGTCTCAGCGGTTGAACCCATAGGGCTGCTAGTCACATGTGCATCCTCTTCTTGGTTGCTATACATGAGTAGGCTTTCCCAGTCCCAGTCTCCTTCAAATTCGGCCATTGTTGTGAACTGATTATGGCTTGCCTCAGGCGGCAACTGATGCGAATTATCTATGACTTCAAGCGCAGGTTCCGAATTTGATGGATGTATCGGGCGCATGTTCCTGGTAGAAGCTGGGGCTGGGATAGATTCAGGGTGTACTGGTGGACCCTCCATCACTGTGGGATCAGAACAGGCTGCGGATGAGAGCCGTCGTTGTCGACCCAAACTTCGATAATGACATCCAAGGGAGCACCGCTACGAAGGGTCAAAAACTTTCCCAGACAGGCTTTTGCCAGGAAGGACACCTACTTGGCATTGATTGCACGGTTGATCGCCGTTGCCTACATAAGACCGCATATTAAGAAGGCTCTATTGGGACAAATGCCGAAGGAAGGGATACCCGTAACATACATCGAACTTTCCTTTGTCTGCAAGAATCACAAGCCCCACGGCGACGCTTCAACTTTGGCTTCTGCCTGCGATCTGTCTGACCGCTTTGGCCCATGTCGGTTACGAATATGAACGAATCCATCATCTTTAGTGGTGGCTAGTAACGGGGATCTCGGCTGAAGAAAAGATGAAGTACTAAGTTGTAGGGTAACAACAGCAATCAGGTCACGTACCCTCAACCATCAACTAATGCGGGTTCCATTCTACTCAGGGAGAAAAAAAATTATATAACTACTCACTACCAGCTGGAGCACACTACACTTAGTAAGACGCACGTTCCCCTCTTTTACTTCTTTACTTAACCTTGGCAAGGCTGAGGTCCCATGAAATGACCTTGGTTGACTCCCTCGGAGCCGATACTTACGAGTACCCATAAGCATTCATCTCGGACAAGCCCTTGTTTCCGGTCTGAGATACGGCATCCTCCCTATTCGAGCGGTAAGTTCGCATTCAGCTCCAAATCCTAGTGTTTTCTTAGATGGCATCAATATCCAGATCAGGGTGCCATCCGCGCTCTCCGCTCTCGGACTATTGTCTACTGTTTGTCAGGGTTCACGCCGCCCGGCTTCACTAGCGCTCTGATTCTCCACTTCTTGCTCTTCTTACTTGCAGGTCTTATCGCCGGTACACTATCCCTACCCATACTTGAACCTGTCTAGAACTAATCGCGTTGATTGACCCCATAATGCAAAAGGAAAAGAGTACAACCGCGGCGCCCCCCACCCAACACCACCCCACTTGGCAGGAAAACACTTCCTTGCCCGAGCCAGTTGGCACTTTTTCTTCTCCTAGGACCGACATTAGCAGCCAGAAACTGCTCGGGTGGTATTGAGTTGAGGACCTGACTCAACATTCTGTCACTAAATCGCCTCAGAGATATAGTTCTGCGGGGCTAAGTAGTTGGTATGCAGTATGTAGCCACCAGAGGATGCCTTCCAATTCCACTCAACGGCTTGCAATTGATCTATACTTGTTGGAGAAGCCCCAGCGATGCGCGTATCATTGTATGCAATGCAGGCAACTCCATCACAGCGTGGCTGGCCTTGCTGATAAGCTTACCACTACTAAGTATTCACAGCGCCTGGCATCCCTGAAGCCTAGTGGAATACAAACTTATTGTACGAAGTTCTTAGTCTTACAGGCTAATTTCATAGCCAACAAACGTCGGTCCCCATGCATGTCGTATCATCAGTACCCAAGTTGTTATTATTTCAACACTGAATGCAGATGTCTGTATGTTGACAGCGTGCTCCATCTATCCTGGCTATAATGACCTGGTCGGGGTACTACTGGCTGGTAGTATCCCATATTATCCTAAAATTGATGATTGGCCCTGGGCACTGCATGTTTAACAGCTTTAACTAACTCTGCTCATGATAAAATAAGCCAACCCATCCTGTTGCAATCCCGGCGCGCATAGAGAGTAGAAGTACTACCACTTGTAGTACTAGCGATGCAAGCGACGGAGGGATCGGCGCTACGGAGCGGGAATACCTCCGTCCTCTCCAAGGCACTTTTGTACCGAGGACACACAACACCGAACGACGCGTCGTTTCTCTCTCATTGTCCAACCGCCCGATAGAAGGATATCTCTCTTCGTGAGTTAGTGTGGTCACCCAAACAGACCATGTCCGGAATCGTATCGGGAGGAGCTACGCTTCTTACAGCCATCCTTTCATATGACTCCCCGAAAATCTCCTTAGGCACTATATGGTTCCAAATTCCGCTGCTCTTGCTGCTTACCTGGGTGACATGGAGGCGGCTTGTGTGGCCCAATTTCTTTTCTCCGCTACGACATCTACCATCGCCTCACAACAGGGGCTGGGGAATGAACCAACGTCTCCGAGTTTATACCGAGCCCCGCGGAATGCCTCAATGTGATTGGTAATATAACTCCTTCCTCCTCTTCCCACCCCGCACTTTCTAGCTGCATCCTGGGATGTGCTAATATCTAACAAGTCGTGCAGGGTCAATAGCATTCCGAACAATGGTTTGATACGGTACAGGACCTTACTCAACTCCGACCGGCTGTTGGTGACTTCGCCTGAGGCCCTAGCGGAGGTTCTGACGACCAAATGCTACGACTTCAAGAAGCCCAAATGGCTTGCTAACGAACTGAAAAAGGTACTCGGTGTGGGGCTCTTGTTGGCGGAAGGAGACGAGCATCGAGCCCAAAGGAAGATCCTTGCGCCCGCTTTCTCTTTTCGTCACATCAAAAACTTGTATGGGGTGTTCTGGGATAAATCATGCGAGGTGGTCACTGCCATGACCGACCAGCTGTCTTGCAAAGAAGGGCCGAAAACCTACGGTCCGCGTGAGAGCTCCATTGTGAATACTGGCGTTCTTGATATTGCGGAGTGGTCCCATCGAGCAACTCTTGACATGATTGGGATCGCAGGTATGGGCCGAGATTTCGGAGCAGTTCACAACCCCAACGCGGACCTGGTCCGGGCTTATGCATTAGTCTTTCAGCCTTCCAAGCAAGATATTATGCTGGCTGTGTTACGGCTCCTTCTACCCAATTGGATGGTGGATTGGCTACCACTGAGGCGCAACGAGGAGATCCGTTGTGCGGTCCAGAGAATCCGCGGAGAGTGCGCCGACCTGATCCGCCAAAAATCCAAGCATCAACGCAAATATCACACCTCACAGCATCGAGATATACTCGACGTTGCACTCTCGTATGGAGGGTTTAGCGACACTCTTCTCATTGATCAGCTGATGACCTTCTTGGCTGCGGGGCACGAAACCACTGCGACGGCCATAACCTGGGCTGTGTACTTGCTTTGTGTCCACCCCGAGGTGCAGACAGCCCTCCGGAGCGAAATACGCGAGAAACTCCCTAGCCCCGAGGACTCTGGGAGCAACCTCACCAGCGACAATATTGATACAATGACCTACTTGAATGCTGTGTGTGATGAAGTCCTTCGCTACGCTGCTCCGGTGCCTCTTACGTTTCGCGAAGCGGTCATTGATACGAATATCCTAGGCCAGCCAGTCCCAAAGGGAACCAAAATTATACTGGTTCCTCGGGCTACCAATCGGGATGCCAATCTCTGGGGCCCAGACGCGCAGCAGTTCAAACCCGACCGATGGTTAGAAGGTGGTATCAGAAGCAATTACGCTACATTAACCTTTCTCCATGGTCCTCGAAGCTGTATCGGGCGATCTTTCGCAAAGGCTGAGTTTTCCATCTTGCTGGCTGCCTTAGTGGGACGGTTTAAATTCCAATTGGAGGATGACCAGCTTCTGGACGAGAAACGCATGAAGGTCACCCGCACAGTAACTGCCAGGCCGGCCAATGGGCTCCTTGTCAAAGTCACCTCTCTGGCAGGCTGGTAGTAGCGACATGGCTAATGGACGATTGCGGTAAATGCATTGTCGGGATGGGTTAAGTGCTTACGCACGCACAACACCCTTCTTGGACTGGCCACCCCTGCTTGTCTCATACTAGTGCTTACAGAAGTGTGGATAGCGCTGCCGTTCAGAAACAGATAGCCTTGTACAATTACCCTTATTGGTGGGTGGCATGCTAGCTGCGGATCAGGAAGGCTCGACCCGACGCACGCGGTATTACTACTAATGGTGCTTTGTACTAATTTCTCCTTTCTACCTTGCCATGATAGGTGGTTCCTGGCTCCTCCTTTGATCCGAATGCTGGCCCCACTCCTTCTGGACTGGTCTTTCCCCAAAAACAGAACGGGGGTGTCTGTTCAAGATCAGCCTGTCAAATGACCGACCGATCACAACCGGTATCTACGGAATAGCCAAGTACCCCAGTAGTTATTCCTTACTAGTTGGTTGACGATGCGGCTTACACTCATCACTGGTTGACACCACTGGCTGACTACGTAAGTACATGCTTGTTAGCTACTTAGTGCGTGTTTGCGAGGTACAACGGAAAAAGCGGCATCCGGCCCATCCATCGTCGGTTGTTCTCCCTGGTCGCAGCAACAACTGCTGCCTATGATGCCATGCCACGCTTTGAGTGTCATGGTGACCGTCTCGCATGTTGAGCTAGTAGGGAGTACAACCTCTCCCACTCCATCGCCTCAGGTTGGGTAGTACTGCACCGCAGAAGCGACTGTAGAGACCAGGCAGGGTCTGTGATCTGAAGCATACCTCTCGATTTTCTTCCTGTCCCATTGCCTTGGCCATTGCAGGGCAATCAGCCTCTCAGTGTCATGGAATTCTCGCGGTGTGTTGACGACTCCTCTTTCGGGCCGGTAGTTAATCGATGTCGAGATAATTTTGATTTCACGCTGAAGTTTGAACTGCTGTTCTTCTCCATCATTCCTGCGTCGATTTTCATAGGTCTCTCAATCCCACGACTTGCTTACCTGGCCCCGAAGCGTGTTCTGGTAACAGGAAGCTGGTTTCTTGCCATCAAGCTGGTCAGTGCCCAATCTACCGGCTTGCCGTATTCTCTGATGTTCACAAATCTCATGTGCACAGGCTGTCATTGTCTCATACGTCGCTCTTCATGTTTCCCTTCTGATTTTCAGCATCGACTTGGGTCGTTCTCGGCTGTCAAGTCTCTTCATCTCGTCAGAGGCCCTCACCCTGGGTGCCGCTGCCTGCATCGCCACCCTTTCCTATCTCGAGCACTACCGATCGCCGCGCCCTTCCATCCTACTGAACGCGTATCTCTGCATTTGCATTCTCCTGCACATCGCACAATGTCGAACATTGTGGCTCTCTGCTTCATCGAAGCAAGATGCCATCTTCACCAAGATATTCACTGTGGCGGTCTCGATAGAAGCTGCCATGTTTGTCCTAGAATCCCGTCAGAAGACCTGCTGGCTAGCAAAAGACACCAAAGGATGCGGACCTGAGGAGACCAGTGGACTCTACAGTCTCAGCACGTTTACGTGGCTCAACCAATTGTTCTGGGCTGGCTACAAGAAAGTGCTTGGTCTTGACGATCTCTTACCACTAGATAAGGAAATGGATGTGAGACGTCTGCACGCGCGGTTTATGAAGCACGCAGGAGAAACGTTGCACGGTCAAAAGCATGGCCTGGTAATCGTCTTAACAAAGACCTTACTAGTTCCCCTCCTCCTCCCGATTGGGCCCAGACTTGCAGTGACGGGGTTTACCTTTTGCCAGGCCTTCCTTATCCAGTCAGTTCTCCACTTTCTCGAGGACAAGCCAGAAGAATCCCAAAACCTAGGGTATGGACTCATCGGTGCTACAATCTTAATATATTCTGGGATAGCGATAGCCACATCCTGGTATTGGTACTGCCACGAGCGATGTCTCTACATGGCGCGCGCCTGTCTCGGCTCGGCTATCTTTCAGAAGACGACAGAATCTCGGTTAGAAGTGGCTGGAAAGTCGAGTGCAATCACTCTCATGAGTACAGACATTGAACGGATTCTCAAGGGTTTCCTAAACCTCCATGAGTTTTGGGCCAACCTGGTTGAAGTGGCACTCGCCAGCTGGTTGCTTGAGCGAGAATTAGGAGTTGCATTCGTCGCCCCAATCTGTCTTGTTGTTGTCTCGGTCGTATCTATTACCTTACTTGGACGGTTCATAGGAGGTCGTCAAAGAGCATGGATGGAGCAAATTCAAAAGCGCGTGGCGCTCACAGCAACGGTAATCGCATCTATGAAGCACCTAAAGATCGCCGGGCTCGTCGATCCTGTAGAAGCTGCGGTCCAAAAACTGCGCCTTCACGAACTACACGTTGGCAGGGGATTTAGGCGACTTCAAATCGGGGCGTTATTCCTCGCTTTCTTGCCCAACCTTCTTGCTCCTCCCATAACTCTAGCTGCTACCGGGCTTAATCTAAGCACTCTTACGATTTTCACGTCCATCGCCTATCTCACGCTTTTGACAATCCCGTTAAGTGATGTCTTCCGATCGGTGGCACCGCTCATGTCGGCACTGACCTGCCTTGGGCGTATTCAGGCCTTCCTAGAAGACAAATCACACCTCGACTTTCGGATATTGACTAAGAGGCCTGATCTTACAAAGCCTGCTAGGCCGGCATCGCCAAGTGGCCCCATTCTTGAAATCATAGATGGCGAGTTCGGGTGGCAGGAGGACCAGGAAAGCACGGTTAAGAATATCAACATGAGGGTCCATCGAGCCAGTCTCACCGTGGTTGTCGGACCGGTCGCCTCCGGAAAGTCAACGCTGTGTAAAGGTCTGTTGGGGGAAACTCCTGTAGCTCGGGGTCAGGTACTGATAGATACTCTTGAGGGTGGCATCGGATACTGTGACCAGACCCCCTTTCTGTTCAATAAAACCGTCAGAGAAAATATTGTGGGCTTCTCGCCATATGACCCCACACGGTATGCAGAAGTTATTGAAGTCTGTCTTCTGGCTCACGATATGTCCTTGTTGCCCAGTGGTGATGATACGGTGGTGGGTAGCCAGGGCATCAGCATGAGCGGTGGGCAGAAGTTACGGGTGTCTCTTGCCCGAGCTCTGTATGCGCCGAGCAGCTTATTGATACTTGACGACATCTTCAGTGGCCTCGACGCTGATACCGAAGAGCAGATATTTTATCGAGTGTTTGGCTCTCATGGGCTCTTGAGACGCAGAGGGACAGCAGCAATCTTGTGCACTCACTCTGTTCGACCACTTCCCTCGGCGGATCAGATCATCGCTCTGGATGAAAATGGCAGACCGGTCAATGGCAAAAGCTTACAATCACTCGATACCAATGATTTGGACCGGATCCGAGAGCTTGTAGCGCGGGACTCCGCGAAGATTAACTCGAAGTCGATACCACATGCCAATATGGCAATCCCCAAACCGCTTCAGAGTCTTCGGACCCAGGTCGCTGCTCAGAAGAGTGTTGGCGACCTGGCGCGGAAAAATGGCGACATCAAAGTGTACAGTCATTATTTCAGAAACGTTCCCGTAATCCCCTTATTTGCCTTCCTTCTAGCGAGTGTGGCATATGGAGGGTTTTACAATTTTCCCACAATTTGGCTTCAGTACTGGTCCGACGACATCGCTTTAGCGCACCCCAGGCATTCCAAGGGTTTCTGGGTAGGACTGTACGCTATGTTTGAGGTGTTAGCTCTGTTCGGTTCAACAACCGCCACGCTGTTGGGACTGAACTATATGGCTATTCGATCGGGGGCTGCTTTGCATCTGTCGACGCTGCGCGTGGTGACCAGAGCCCCCTTGGCATTTTTCGCGAAGACTGATCTAGGCATGATCACAAATCATTTCTCACAAGATATGACTTTGATAGATGGTGAGCTGCCAGGCTCCATTATTAATTTCTTCACCGATGTTGCTGTGGTCATCGGTATGGCATGTATCCTGGCGGTTACATCGCCATACATAATAATTTCATACCCCTTCGTCGCCATGGTACTCTATATGGTGCAACGTTTCTATTTGAGCACCTCACGCCAAATTCGTCTACTGGACCTCGAGGCTAAGAGTCCACTTTAGTACGTATTCTCTCCCATCCCCGTTCAGATTAAGGGATACTGATCATCTGCCGATTTCTTCGCTATCAGTGCGCATTTCCTTGACACCGGTAGGGGTATTGCAACCATACGCGCATTTGGGTGGACGGATGAGCAGATCCGAATCAACCAGGAGCTATTGAACACTTCGCAACGCCCTACCTATCTTCTTGCGATGATACAGCGCTGGTTGTTGTTTATCCTTAACATTTTTGTTCTAGTATTCGCAGTTCTCGCCGTTGCACTCTCAACCCAATTGCATGATAACACAGGATTCACAGGGTCGGGCTTGCTCACACTCATGCAGCTCGGGCAGTTCATGACTTCGATGGTTCAATGCTATGCGAAGTTGGAGACGTCCATGGGGGCTGTGAGTCGGCTCAAGGCATTTCGCGACAATACACCGTCCGAGATCACGGACACTGACAACATTACACCATCACCATCCTGGCCCTCTAAGGGTCGAGTTGAGGTGCATGGAGTATCTGCTTCTTACCAGTAGGTCCTTGGTCAATAATGAAAAATAATTTAGTACTCTTGAAACAAATTGACTTCTAACGATGCGATCTACGCTTTGCGCAGGACTTCTGAGAGCGCGCCCCATAACCTAGCCTTGCATGAGCTTAACCTTGCTATTGAGCCGGGAGAAAGAGTGGCTATATGTGGCCGTACTGGAAGGTGTGCACCGAGACGATTGAACTTCAGATAATTGTACGCTAACAAAGGATGAATATAGCGGCAAGTCATCAATCCTTCTTCTTCTTCTCCGCTTGCTGGACCCCCTTCCATCTTCGGCGCAGAACATCACCATCGACGGCGTACCGTTGCACCAGGTCGATCGCTCAATTCTCCGCCAGCGTATCATTGCCATACCTCAGGACGTGATATTCCTTCCCGACGGTACCTCTTTCAAAGAAAATCTCGATCCCTTCGGCCTGTGCTCGGAGGTCGAATGCCAGTCCATCCTACAGGATCTTGACTTGTGGTCCTTGGTTGAAAAACAGGGCGGCCTGCAGGCGGGACTAACTCCCACTAATCTCAGCCAGGGTCAGAAGCAACTGTTCAGCATTGCTCGTGCGGTCTTGAGGAGGCGGGCGCGCTCACGGCAGCAGGCTGAAACGGGTCTGCACACAACCGTGCGCAAATCAGGAGTTCGAGAGTCAGGAGGGGGGATACTGCTGCTAGATGAAGTGAGCTCTAGTGTTGATATGGAGACGGACCGGGCATTGCGGAAGGTTATTGATAGGGAATTTGCCGGATATACCATTATCATGATCTCACATCGTCTGGAGGTCGTCTTGGACTTTGACCGCGTCCTTGTGCTGGACTCGGGCCATCTAGTTGAGGAGGGGAAGCCGAAAGACCTGGCTCGAAAGGAAAACAGCCGCTTTCGCGAGCTGTTGGTGGCAGCGAGTCAGGATGGCGTGTGATATATTTTCAACCTGGGCCTTGAAAGTGGCTTCATGCATGGTAGGTATCCAAGTAGCTTCAGACTATGTAGTGGGAAGCAAGCTAGCTAGTTGTATGGTTAGACCAAAGCCGTGGTCAACTCACGGAGGACACTTCCATACCGGTCCGCCTTACGTAGCATTTATTTAGCTGAGGGGCACCCCTCATTCTACAATATCTCTTCTTCCGTCATATTGAACTACTCCTTAATATTATGTTATGTTTTAGTGTAAGTATTATCCCGTTCTAATATTCCATTGTATAACTCTTCCCGTCACTCGTATGGTACTGCATATGTGATACTCCATGTTAGGACTATTTCTGGTAGTAACCCTGCAGATTCTCAATAAGTACAAAGTGCAGGACTTGAGTAAACGGAAGGCGCGGAATAACAGTCACGATCTTCATGGCTGCGACTCTCACGGGGCCTTCATTTCCAGATAAGCATCCCCTTCTGCCATCGTAATCTGAGAGATAAATTTCTTCTTCAACGCCTCAATCACCAATCTTCCTAAACTAGCAATGGACCCCGCATTCAAGATTTCCAATGTGCTGATCTCAATGCCGCCTAAACTTCTCTTCATCCAGTTCCGGATCTCAATTGTAACCAGGGAATCGACACCCAAAGCGGTTAGCGATACATTCACGTCCAGGTCATCCAATGGCTGTAGCATGAAGGTGTATATTTTGACAGCCATTTCCCGCGTCACCACTTCCAGTGACGCAGGGTCCTTTAGCACAACCTCCGGATCAGCTTCCACGGATGCCATAAATGCCTTGAGCGCATCCGCTTGACTACCGTTACTACCATTGCTGCTGCTGGATGACTCGGTGTCTCGGTTGTGGTATAGTCCCATGCGAGCATCCTTTCTCCATATGACCCGGTTCGTTGGGTCAGAGAGTCGCTTGTCGCACCGGAGCCCGATGGTCAATTGGGTCTCGTCGCTGTCTGCAGTCGCACTGCTTATGGTGGCCTTTACAATAGCCCACTGAAGAGAATCCAAGAGGTCCTTTTCTCGGAGAAAGTACCCGCCTGCAGCGCGAAGGGCCTCGGCCTTTCCCACATTCTGAGTCAGATACCCCACGTCGTCCATGAGGCCGATGTGCAAGATTGAGGTGGGCAGGCCCAGACTTCTCCGGTATTGTGTGAAGGCGTTGAGGAATGTGTTGCCTGCAGCGTAGTTGGCTTGACCGGGAGTTCCAAAGGACCCGCTGATGGATCCGGTTGCGAAGAAGAAGTCTAGGTCGCTTGGCATCGCGTGGTGTAGGTTCCACGTTCCTTGCACTTTGGGCCCGACTGCGGTGGTCCAGTCTTGGAGGTCCATTTCCATGAATGGCTTGTCTCGGAGTACCATTGACATTTGGAAGACCCCCTTGATTGGTTTTTCTGCAGCTTGGGTGATGCGAGCCACGTCCTTTTCATTCAAGACGCTCCCTTGAATAGCTCTCACACTGCATCCTTGCGATTCTAGTTCCTGGATGAACCGTCGGTCCTGTTCCGAGTTTCCGGCTGATCGGGAGAAGAAGACAAGGTGCCTAGCTCCTTTCTCGACTAACCACGTTGCTACTGCTCGGCCCAGACCGCCCATTCCTCCCACGAGTAGGTATGATGCGTTGGCCTTCATGGTTAAATCTGGGATAATTGGAGCGATTGGCAGTTCCCGGCCTCCTTCAGGAATAGTCACGACGATCTTTCCCATGTGTGTCCCTTTCTGCATGTAACGGAAACTGTCTTCAATATGACCAGCAGAGAAGGTTGTCCTAGGTGCGATGGGTTTGATATGTCCGGCCTCGAGCATTTGCACCGTACGAGTGAGTAGACTGGGATCATTAGGTCGGGTCAGGACAGTGGTTCCTAAAACACAAAAGACCTTGGGGTACACGAAAGAATAGGACTTACGGGTGACATCTCGCAGCGTCGAATCTGGCGAGATCGATACCGATAAAGCTTCTGTTCGCTTCAAAGATGTCCATGCTCAACTTAGCTTTTCCAATAAAGTCTCTTTTGCCGATCTCGAGCATCTTGCCGTACGGAGCTACACATTCCCAGGATGCATGAAGAAGCTCACCCGACAAGCTGTTGAGCACGAGATCGACGCCGCGTCCATTAGTGTGGGCAAGCACGTCCTCTCGGAAGGAGGTGTCACGGGAATTAAAGATGCTGGCACGCGGAATGTTGAAGGTCTCCATGAGATATCGAACTTTATCCTGATTTCCGACTGTTACATATACCTGCACAAAATGGTCAGGCATTAGTTCGCCACGTGAGTCCAGCCATGTCATTGAAAACAAATGCTTACCTGAACCCCACCAATACTTTGGCAGACATTGATGGCTGCAATTCCAATACCTCCACATGCTGAGTGTATCAAAACCGACTGGCCGCTCTGCAAGCCACCGATGTCCACAAGCGAATGAATGACAGTAGCGTAAACACATGGCATCGTGGCCGCTTCTTCGTATGAGAGGAACGATGGGATCTTCGCACATCTCATAGCCGACATGGTGATCCGAGTAGAGAAGCAGTTATCATCGAGGTAAAAGACTCGATCGCCCACCTGGAGATCAGTCACTCCGGCACCTACGTCTGTGATCACGCCCGATCCCTCGAGTCCAATGCCAAGGTTGTTAGCTTCCACAATCCCCATAGCGAGAAGCACATCCTAGAATCCCAAGATTTGTCAGTAATTACGAGAAATTGAAATCACGGGAAGAGCGGTGGCGCTTACTCTAAAATTTAGGCCTGCACAACGAGGCTCAACGACAACTTCCCCATGGCGAGGTTCGGTTGTGGGGAAAGGAATCCACTGCAGTGACTGTAGCAGACCTGGACGACCAATCGCCAGTCTGACAGCGCCAGGCTTTGACGCCATAAGTTCCAGGTCCTGTGCCACCGAGGCTGGCTGATATCGGCCAACATGGACCACTCCGTTACGGAGGATGAACTCGGAATCTGCATCCACTGATGCCGTCGAGTCATGCGATTGGATTTTGCCCAATACACGCACGATAGCCGGATAAACCTGGTCATCGACGCGGTCGACTTCCAGGGTCATAAAAGAGAGGAACTGTTCCGATCGCAATGTTCGAGCGAGCCCTAGGGTCAGACCGAACCCCGGAGTAGAACTCACATCCTTTTGGGCCGGCCGAGTGACCCATAGTATTTTGCTATCTCCTCGACTGGCAATAAGATCCTGAAAGGCCAATAGGACTTCATGAGATACGCTTTCAAAGAGGGGACTTTCGAGCTCCAGCACTGAGACAATGTCTTGATCGGCTGGTGCTCCCTCTTGAAGGGTTCTCAAGTCGACCTGATAACCATTATCGATAAGAGACTTCTGGAGGCGGTCAACGTTAGTTGTAGGTACGTTGCCAACACTGTGAAGAAGAGTAACACGACGAGGTCCCAGAATGGACTCCCGTACAGGTCGGGAGATAATATTGGCGTTGATGTGGTATGGGCGAGGGCCATCATAGATCGCCGCCTCAACCCCAGAGAAACCGGCCATTTTCAATGCCTTGTTCCATTCTTCTGGTGTCAAAAACGGCTCATTGACTCTACCGTCAGTTTCGCCCAGCCACCATCCCGGAAGAATCCCCATAATCCTATTTTCGCTGAATTAGCTTTCACTGGGATAGGAGTAGCTGGGAACATAGCACACTTACAGGTTCACCATTTGCAGCTGGGGCGATAATTCCTGGAGAAACAGATAGCCCTCAGGTGCCAGCAGCTTACGCACGTTCGCCAGAGTTGCATTAATACTGGGAGTTGCATGCAAGACGTTGCCTGCGATGATCAAATCGTACGATTCTGCCTGGAACCCTTGCTCGATCGGGTCCTTTGTAATGTCGAGTACCTTATACTCGATCCCTTCGTATTCCTTAAACCTCTCCTGCGCTGGGACAAAGAACCCAGCAGAGATATCAGTAAAAGCGTACTTCGAGTACATACGCTCACGTCTTGGGGTGGACGAGGTGGTTAGGCCCCGCAGGACAACTGCTGTGCCCCCTCCAGTGCCAGCCCCGATTTCCAACACTCTCAACGTGGGCTTGGTATGACCTGCAACAGCGAAGAAATCAACAGAGTCAGTTCGTGACTCGACAAAATTGTAGTAGTTGGTCAGTCCATCGCGAGCTTGCAGTACTTCGATTCCCTCCACCTTTCCCTGCATAATAGCAGAGCAGTTATCCACTATCCTGGATATAAGCTCAGCTGCGCTTGCGGCATCAGTGTGCGATAACAACTGTTTCAGCTTGAATATCAACGCAAGCCTAATATCAGAATCCAGGGATAGCAAATCCTTAGCATTCGGAACCAAGTCGTAGCTATTGCTCGAGGCTCGACTTGTTTGCCGATGCATCCACGAGCGATATTTTTCAAGATGCTCAATATCACAGACTAGATGAGATGTCTGAACGTTCACTTCAATGAGACTGAGTAGGGCCATCTTCTCGACGAGCTCGAGCTCAAGAGAATCAATATGCGAGCTATCGCTGGCCTTTATCAAAGTCCTCATGTCGGCTAGGTCGAGATCTGGTTTCCAGTGTAACTTTGCTGCGCCAATAGGGTCAAGATCATCGGCTGTATCCACCTCGAGGGGAGAAAACTTCCCTCCGACTAGGGACAAGAAAACTCCCTTATCGGACTTGGCTACTACTCTTCCGGAAAGAACGCCAGCAGAACTGATGGTGGCAACGGCCTCCGCGACTGCATCATTGTCACTCCTGCCGCCGCAGAGGTAGAGCTGTTCGATTTTTGTCGGAACACACAAACGGGTTACACGCCGGTAAATCCCATCACAGCTAGCTGGGAACAACAGCTGCAGGCAGTGATCAATGGTCGTAGGGTGAACAGCGTAGGTGGACTCGGAAACCGCGGTTGGCAGCAACCTGGCAGAGGCTGTGGTTCTTGTTCGGCAGACAAGAGACGTGGGATAATCCGCGGAAGCATGGCCCATAGTTGAGACCAACTTTCGTCAGTATGGGATATAAATTCTCGGTTGAACGGGGATGGCTGGGACACGGCAAGGGAGACGAAGAATGTGTAGCCCCCGTCCTGATCTGTCCCACGCAATGTTTAACCCAGGCAGTCTTATTGTATGAGAATATACTAAACTCCCACCAGACAGAGTCCAGGGTAGTTGTCAACCTGACCGGACGAAGACTAGTGATCATCTCAATCGCCTTTGACTCGGTCAATACCAATGCTGTGTGCACCACGACATCCCGGAAGGTAGATTCATGGGCAGATGATATCTGTCGGATGGCCTCGCCTGCCATTCCAAGGTACCCTGCGCAGGGGAATATGATATCGTTGATGACTTGATGATCCCGAAGCCATGGTACATCTTCTAGGCGAAGGACGTTTCGCCATTCGGGCTGCAGATCATTCCCCTCCAGTATTCTAGATCCCAATAGTTCATGATGAGGGAACTCGCGGAACCTCCAGTTTTTGCTCAATCTGCTTTCGGCCCAGTACTCATGAACGTGCTGCCATTTGTATGATGGAAGATTGGTCAGCAGGCACCCACTCGGGCAAATATGTCCGAAATCCACTGGTGTATTGTTCAAGTAAAGCTCCCCAGCCATATGCAGGATGGATTCGGTGCAGTCCTTGCCACGGATCATGGCTGTGATGTAGCTGTCGTTGGACCGATTAGCAGCCTGCAATATTTGACGGAGCGGTCCTCTTAAGGCACCATGTGGGCCGACTTCGAGAAAGGTGTGCTCAGAACATGCTTCACTCTCTACCAAATGACTTACGGCACCGTAAAAGAGTACGGGGCTTTCGAGATTTTCTCGCCAATAGCTTGCGTTCAGACACCCCGCGCCATTTATCCTCGTTGCGCGGACGCTCGAGAAGAAGGGCACTACGGGAGCTTTGCTGTCAATGCGATCACGTAGTAGGTCCTCGAGGAAGTCGCCAATGTCAAGCATATGGTCTGTGGGTGAAAAGTCAGTATACCATAATCTCAAACAAACTTAGTGAACTGGACTGAGGTCACATACGAGAATGGTAGGCCATCTCGACCTTTAGCCTTCGAACCAAGCACCCCGGTTCCTCAGTCCGAATGATTTCACAGGTCTTCTCGAGAGCTTCGAGATCTCCTGACAATGTTACACTATGCGGACTGTTCTCGCAGGCTATCAATGTCCCCTGTCTCAAATATCGTGTCACTTGCTCACGGCCTAGGCCGATGGCAGCCATTCCACCAGGCCGTTGATATCCTTTCGTCACGTACCCGCGGTAGTAAGCAATTGTGATTGCTTCCTCGGCCGTGATTGCTTTTGCAGCATATGCCGCTGCAATCTCTCCGCTTGAGTGACCCACAACCGCGTTCGGCCGGATGCCCCATTGACCGAGGAGGTTCACCAAAGCCACCTGAACAGCCGCCACTAAGGGTTGAGAATACTCTGCTTTGGGCAGGTTGCTATCTTCTTCCGGTTTGCGCAGTTCATCTCTGAGATCCCACGAGGGGGCATGCTCTAGCTTCGCTAGCACGGCGCCTAGGTAAATTATGTCCTTGTCAAAGGAAGGGTAGTCATCCATCAGCTCCTTGGCCATTCCTGCCCATTGTGCCCCTTGTCCAGTGAATACCATCGTTATTGGTGATGTTCTCTTCGCCTTCGTTACAGGCGAGAACGTGAGGGGTCCATCTGAGGAACTGGTAACACAATAAGCCCGGTTCGCCAAGTGCTCTCGTCGATTGCACAAAGTGTAGGATATATCAGCCATCAAAGAAGGATTTTCTCTGATGTATCGTTCATGCTCGACTAAGCTTTCTTTTAGGGATGCCGGGTGTGCTGCTGAGAATACATGGATGAATCTTCTAGAACTAGGAGGACGCACCAGTCTGCAGGGGTCGTCCGTGTCCTTGGGATGAGTTGTGTGATCGTTTGTATGACCGTTTGTATAACGATCATTCAAGGCGCCGGCCACATACTCGCTACTAGCGGTGGCAGCTACAGTCGCTTGCAGAGACATCAGAGCAACACTCTCGAGGATGGCGTGTGCATTTGCGCCGCCAATGCCGAATGAATTTACACTCACTCTTAGCGGTTTACCGGATGGCCACGTCATTGGGTCAATTGGAACCTCCATGCTTGCCTCCTGGAATGGGATCTTTGGGTTCGGAGTCGAGAAGTTTATATTCGGAGGGATGGTCATGTTCTCCAATGCCAACACGGCCTTAATGACGGAGGAGACTCCGGAAGCGCCCTCGCTATGACCCAGGTTCGGCTTGACACTTCCAATATATACCGGGTCATTATTCCCTCCAAATACTCGTGCAATTGCCGTAGCCTCGAGGGGGTCACCGACGGGCGTGCCTGTGCCGTGTGCTTCGACAAACACGGTCTCCCTGGGGTCAAGCGACGCCTCTCGATATGCTCGACGGATCAATGCTTCATGGCCTTCAGAGCTGGGCATTGACATACCCGGCGTCTTTCCATCACAATTAGTCGCAGTAGCTCTGATCACGGCGCGGATTTTGTCGTTGTCTTTTATTGCCTCAGAAAGGGACTTAATGTAGATGGCGTTAATGGCTTCGCCCCTGGCGTAACCGTTTGCTGCCGCGTCAAATGTCTTGCAAGAACCTTCCGGAGATAGCACCCCTTGCTCTGTCATAGCGATGGACATTGTAGGTGAGAAAATGAGATTTGTGCCTGCAACAAGTGCTCCTGAACAGTCACCTGCACGAATGGCTCGAACAGCGTCATGCAAGGCGATCAAAGACGATGAGCACCCGGCCTTTATGGTGAAGGAGGGGCCTCTCAAGTCGTATTCGTAGCTAATGCGGTTCGAGATGGCAAAGTCATGTCCACCAGGGATCCGATACATGCCTGCATCCTGAGTATCTTTCGCATGGAGGTCCAACCAATCCTGACAGCGGATAGGTTTCAGCGTCAGCTCTTGATCTTCATAACCTTGTCCTTATCAACTTACTTCACCCCAGACTCCAACGTAGCAGCCGATCTTGCTGCCGCGCCAGCCCACTTGACCTGAAGATTGCATGCATTCGTATACGACTTCAAGTAACATACGTTGCTGTGGATCGATGTCATCTACCTCCTTCCGGCCCATCGAGAAGAAAGATGTATCCAGATGTCTGAAATTATCTGTCTCTGTCAGAAAATGGCCATGTTTCATTGCTATCGATCCAGCCCGGCCTGTGGGACTGTAGAACCCGTCCACGTTGAACCGACTCTTGGGGATCTCGCCCCGCGTGGATCGCTTCTCCGTAATGAGTTCCCAGAGCTGCTGTTCTGTGTGGATATTCCCCGGCAGCCTCACGCCCATGCCAACAATCGCTATGGGCTCCAAAGAATCAACTTCCTCGGGGGTTCCCGGCTGACTCGAGCGCTCCACAGAGGAGATCTCCCAGGGAGACGAGTCTTGACTATCCATGGTGAGCAGGCGAGCGATAGAGACGTGTAACGCGATAATTGATTAATATGTGAAAAGTGCCGACGACAATGAGCAGCGCAACAAGATATTTTGTCATGGTCATGAGGTATAATGGCGATATATGATATGTGGCACGGACGGTACGTTAGAGCCAGACGCATCAGTCGGTCACCTGTGCAGGTCGGTACTACCGATGTGGTCCATGTACACAGGTCAACCGATTAGCCGCCAGATCCGCCAGAGAACGGAAGCCCATGCCTTCGAAGGTGTCATGGTTTCGCTGCCAGGTTTCGATGGGGTTTCGGTTGCCCTTCTTGGATTGCCGATCCGGAATGCAAATCCGAAAAGTCCATGTCGGCTTCCGTTCCACTTGGGGCGAACGCACACTATCCCACTTCCGATAGCCTGGGAGAAGTCGTCTGCGGGGTATCATCCTTGTTTAAACTTGCTGGGTTACCCGTGTGAATTATAGTTTGATTTCCAGCAGTATGGTATTGTAGGGTTTAGCCGGTTTTGGTGTTGGCTTCCATTGGGGATGTAGGACGATTGGTTTATCCACGCCGTGGCACATTAGCGGCCCACATTTCGCTCACTGTTCCCAACCCTAGTGGAGACGAGTATCTATTCCGTGCCAGCTAGTCTGATAGCAAAGAGTCCTCTTTATCGATCATTTGCCATTCAAACTCATCATTCATTAGAGCCAACTTATCCATCCCGAGCACCTTCTCCATTTCTGAGCAATTAGCGGCTTTATTGAATTCAGCGGCCGCCCTGGAAGTTGTTATGGGACTGAGATAGGGGAAGAACACATGGCGCGCCATCGTCGAGCAGAGTGTAAATATCCCATCTGCATGTATTAACAGCTACCCAACCCAGTTTCAGCTTTCTGGAGCCATTCCCTCAGTGCCAGATAGTCTGTTTTAGACCTCGCTTCCTAATGTTATTTGTGATCATTACTGCCAATTCTTTCTGTTAGTATCTCAGCGTATGCATATGCCATCTTCATCCTTGCAAGCTAATTGGACTTTTCCACGCCGTCGCCGAGGATTAAACCGGTCTCAATTGAATTCACTTCGTAGAGTTAGAAGCGCAACTGTTTGAGCTGGAGAATTTTTGACTCCTGATTGTCCTTGATTTGCTGCAGACTAGATCCATGGGTCATGCATATTTACTCCTGACAGAGCTTGCATGGTAGTTTGTGATCTAGCTGGTAAGACGGGGCTAACAATCGTTCTGGTTCGATTGAAGATAGTTTCCCTTCTATGTGATTTTATCAGGATTGAATTTATTGGTGTACGAGTACTGACCGTCACCCAGCTGAGGAGTTCGGGCCGGCCGAAAAGAGCGATGAGGTTGCCTATATCCTTAGTGGTGCCGCTACGAGATAAAATGGAAGGACCCATTATAAATCAATTGATCACTTTCATTTATTCACTTTCATTATTTATATGATAATCGGTGGAGGGCGCACTCCATATAGAGAATAGTTAGGGCAAATGAGTCAGGGCGGGTCCAGTGCGGGGACTCCGCAATGGGTTCCAAAATTATATGCTTCTCGGCGTCGCCATCTCCAAATTTTTCGCACACTACCGCCATGTCGACGACCACCACTGCTGTCACCAGTGAGGTCAGCTCACTACGCCTCTCCGCCGAGGAAGTCCGACTTCCAGCTCCTCGCGATGACCGAAAGTCGCGCTTGCAACAAGTCGTCGTGATCACCCAGCTGTTTGCCGTCACTCTCACAGCCAGCGTAATCAATGGCTTGGTGGTAGTCGGACTCCCCACCATCACTGCAGACCTCCAGCTGCCTCCTTCGCTTTCCCTCTGGCCCTCCTCGGTATGCAGTCTCGCCACGGCCTCTACACTTCTTCTATCCGGCTCAATTGCCGACACCATCGGCCCTCGATGGGTGGAACTGGTGGGATCTCTCGCCAGCGGTGCATTGATGCTCGGACAGGGCCTATCGCAAACTGGCATTGAGCTGGTCATCATGCGAGCCTTCCAAGGTGTGGGCCTCTCAATGCACCTTGCATCATCGGTGTCCATCGTCACCCAGCTTTTACCTCCTGGAAAAGGCCGTAACCTGGCATTCTCCTGCATAGGCCTGAGCCAGCCATTGGGCTTCTCACTGGGTCTAGTAGTAGGCGGCATCCTGATCGACACTATCGGCTGGCGCGCAGGCTGGTACATCGCCGGAGGAATCACTCTCTTCTTCACCGTCATCGGACTGTGGTCATTACCAAAGAGCCCTGTCCAGCGAGATGGACACATCCTCCGCAATGTGCGGACCAAGATCGACTGGGTGGGAGCTGGACTAGCTTCAGCATTCATGGCCTTGCTCTGCTACTTGCTCGCGTGAGTATGCCCTAAAAACCTCAAAACACAACACTATACCCCAATCTAACCCATATACCCCAACACAGTATCCTCAGCGCAAACCCCTCCCGCATCCGCTCCGCAGAAAGCATCATCATCCTCTGCGTCGCCGCCATCGCCCTCCCCACCTTCATCACCTGGGTGCACTTCCAAGTAAAGCGCGGCAAACCAGCATTGATCCCCAACGCACTATGGAAGAACACCTCTTTCTCGAGCATCTGCGCCACAGTGGCCCTCTCCAACGCAGTAATCAACTCCATGGAACTCTTCGCCAGTCTATTGTACGTCCCCCAACCCCCAACCCCCTACCCCACACACCCATTCCCGAAAACCCACTAACAAATCCACCCTCAAACCAGCTTCCAAGAAATCCAATCCCTCAGCGCCCTCGGCGCCTCCATCCGCATCCTCCCCAGCCTAATCGTCGGAGTCCTAATCAACCTCGTAATCGGCTTCTTCGTGCACCGCATCCCCGCCTACTGGATCGTAACCATCACCTCCTTCTTCTGCGCCCTCTCCCCGCTCCTCATGGCCGTCATCGACCCAACCCAGACATACTGGGCGAATGCCTTCGTCGCGCAGCTCCTGCAGCCCATCAGCGCGGACGCGCTCTTCACGGTGGGGTTGATCGTCATCACGAATGTGTTTCCGGATGATACGCAGGCGTTGGCGGGAGCGGTGTTTAATACCTCGGCGCAGTTTGGGAGTGCATTGGGCATGGCGGTGTTGCAGGTGATTTCGACGGTGGTGAGTGAAGAGAGGGAAAAGGGTGGGGAGGGAGAGAAGAAGGCGTTGATGGAGGGATATCGGGCGAGTTTTTGGACCATGTTTGGGTTGATGGTGGTTTGTACGGCGGTTGGGTTTTGGGGGTTGAGGAGGTCTGGGAGGGTGGGGTTGAAGAGGGATTAGTTTATTGGTGCAGTTTCTAGGTATGTTGTTTGTTATCTGGGTGTAAATTATAGATTGTGGACTTTGCTTTGGGGTGTTGGATTGGGAAAAGTGTCTTTATTGCTTCTTCTTTAGACTGGGATGTTCTTGTTCTTAGGGTTACTGTGGATCTGCAGGAAATGGCTTGCAGAGATGAAAATGATAGACTATGACAGTTATGATTAAGCGATTGGAAAACATACTCACACTAATATTACGCGAAGTCTTTCTATCTTACAAAAGTTGAATTACTTGTGATTAAAACTCTGACATTCTTGTCTCACATGAGAAAATGTTCATCAGAATTCCTTTACCCCCTTCGATCCCTCAAACTTTCCACAACAGTCTTTGGAACCTCCATATCACTCAGCACCACCCACCCCAAGCGACTCAACCGCCTGCCTCGTCAACCCCTCAAACGTCATCTCTGGCGCAGTGAATGCATGAAAACTCAACGTCAGCCCAAACTCTCCGAAAAGCCACTGCTGCAACTCCGACCCAATCATACTATCCAGTCCATACGAGGCAACAGTCCCTTTACTAAATTTGATCTCGTCAGTGTCCCTACCCAGCATACTGGCACATTTTTTCACAATCCGGTCACCAACGCGGGCCATCAACGTCTCATGATCAAGCTCTTCACCGTCACCAAGAACATCCCCATCTGGTTTCGAAGCTCTCAAGGAGTCCTGCAAAAGGTCCAAGTCTCGCTGCACGCCGCGGAGACGAGCATCACCGTGCCAGAATAGACGGTTCGTGCCAGCGGAACGGTGCAGCAGGGAAGGGTCAAGCCCTAGCACGAGATGGGTGGGACTGTTCGGGGACATGGCGATTTCGAGACCCTCGAGCATCTCTATCTCGTCAATTCCGTAAAAGCCTAGTCGCTGGAGGGAGTCCTCGACGTTTTGGTTTTCTGCCACTACTCCGACGTCGAGCAGCATGGGTAGCGCTATGGAGCAGGCGGGTAGACCGAGGGACTGACGGTATACTGCGAATGCGTCAAGGAAGCTGTTGCCAGCACTGTAGTTCGTCTGGCCAGGTGTGCCTATTGTACCCGAGATCGAACTGGTCATGACGAAAAAGTCTAGCGGGGCGTTGATTAGGACGGAATGGAGAATTTGTGCTATGCGGATCTTGGGAGTAACGGCAGCTTGGTATTGTGCTGCTGTCATGCCCTGTAGCAGGCCGTCCTAATAGCGGATTAGCTCACGTTGTATATTGAAGTTGATAACTACTGGGCTTGTTTTACCTGCAGCACCATTGCAGCATGCACCACACCACGAATCAGTCGTTCTTTCATTACTCGCGCGATAATAGCTCTCATATCGGACTCATTGCCAGCATCAGCCCGAAATACATGCACCGATGCGCCAGCCTTTTTGGCAAGTTCAACGGTCTGGGCTGCCTTTGGCCGCGTTGCGCCTGAGCGTGACACGAAGACAAAATGTCGACATCCTTGCTCGGCCATCCAGCGGACCAGACTGCTTCCAAGGCCGCCGAGCCCTCCAATGAGTAGGTATGCTGCATCGGAGTAGAATTGAACCCGCCGGTTCGAAGGTAGTATCTGCTGTTATTAGAGCTTTTGTCACGCGCGGCTGAGGAAAGTTGTCACATACCTTCACAGAACTTTCACCGTATCTGAATTGCACTGCCGCATTTACCTTTTCGTTTGAATCTGAGGATCGATTCGACTGGTGGTTAATAGGCTGCGCGGGCAATTGATCTATGCTGTACACTGGCACATGGGACGTCCAGATGTCCTTGTTCCTCTTCAAAAACTCCAGCCCATCCTGTAGGATTTCAGCCGCCATCTCTGGTCGTGTACAGAGGGATTCATAGCCCATAGGCAGAAAAGAAGCACCCTTGCTGAAAGGTCGTGGGTCCAGTGTCCCTTCTATCTCCCCATTGCATAAGAGAAACCGACCGGCCGCTGATATGTGTCTCCATGCCTCTTGGCCAGCTGCCGAGAACCGATTGCTTATCACCAGTGAAATTTCTCCAGACGTAGCTTCGAGGACTGGCAACATATGAGATGTATACAATTCCTCAACAACAACAGTCGGAATACCAGACGATGAGGCTTCATATAATTCGTCACTCTCTTCTTGTGTTTCTACAACGACAGTGATCCGGGCATTCAATTCCTTACTGAAGTTGATTGCCAACTGCACAAATAATAAGGGCATATGTAAAAGCAGAATATGATCGTTCTCATGGGCTCTTCCTAGCCAGCTCATGCAGAGAAGGACTTTGCATACGGTTGGAAGGGTAGCACAAAGGAACGCTGGGTCGAGACCCTCACATTCGAAACAAGCACCTTTCTTTGCCTTTACAATGGCTTGATAGCCATTCTGTGCGGCGAGCGTGACCATCTGGCCAACTGTATCTTCACAATGGTTGGGGATTGCGTGGCCGACAACGATGACCGGTTGCTTCGTGCGTTGGTTAGGACTCCAACTCTGGTATTCTGTCATCTCCACTTGGAGACATATTTCGTCCCCCTCGGCGTCAATCATGTATTCCTCATTTTCCCTGAAGACCAATTCGCTATTCACAAACTCGCTCTGTAGCGGTATGTTCGGTGGTAGTTTCACCGTCTCATTATCTTTCGGAGATGTACTGGGGCATGCCCAGGGCATCAACCGATTGGTATGTAGAATTCCTTCATGAAGCCAGAACTCTGTCTCGTGGCCAGAGCTCCGAGGTGCTGCAGCTCCCAGGACTGTCAGCATAGCCTGTGCGATGCTATGAGGAGGCTCTTCCTGATCGATATCCAATGATAGGATCTTAGCCCCAGGATTCTCGGATCTGACAACCCGCAAGAATCCTAGACTCAGCCCGCCTTCGGCCGTACGGCCTTGGTTGGTCCCCAAAGTGAGCCAGAGAAGCACATTCTCCTCGGAGAGAACTAGCTTCTTGAGCAAATCAAATTGTGTCTCCGAGGGATTTGACAGAATGCAACCATCAACGTCAAGAATAACCGTATGTTGGTTTGATTGATGATTCGTCTCGTGCAGTTTTACTACATCGACAGATATTTTCAAGACCTGTAGTGCTTTCATACACTCGTTCACGAGATGTTGGTTCGAACTTTCTTTGACCACCAAGGTGACCGCTGTCGGCTCTGTTTCTCGATTAATACAATGTTCTAACTCCTGGGAGAGTAGCAGACTAGTCTGTGAGACAGATAGCCCTAAAGCTGGCCTGGAGATCATGGGAGGACAGTCCAGACAGCTGCTAATTCTCGATGTGTTTTCGTCCTGCATTAGGAGCATTCTACCGGTGGGCGTCAGGATAGACTGTAGTTCTTGGATAACGTCCGAATTTGGCTGACCCTTGAAAACGACAAGGTCATGTTCGCCCTCCAGAGTTGAAGATAGCTGGGATAGGTTTGGTGAGAGCTGGATTACCGATATATTCTCTGGTAGAGTGAACACTACTTTCTTTTTCACATCCCCGTCGGACATCTCAGCAATCGTTAAGTTCGCAATAACGGGAACATGGCGCGCCACGGCCTCTATCAAACTATAATCGTCTCCTGCAGAGACGAACGCTCTTTGTATGGGCCGCTTGTGGTTAACCAGGCCAATTAATTCGACGACAGCCTCTCCGAGCGACTTGTAGGGCAATTTTCCCAGAGACTTAGATGCATAGTCAATGTCAGGTTGCCACCGGTATTGCATGTACTTCTGGTCCGGAATGACCGCCGTCGAGCGAGCCGACCAGCTCATCTCGTGCTCTTTGAACCAAACCCCCTTACATTCCAAATTCGGGAGCCCGTTCGAGCTAACCAGTTGTATGTGTGACCGGAGAAGGGGGCTCTGGCACTCGTCCGTCCACGCAAATCCATTTCCTTCAGCCTCTTCTGGAGAGGCAATGGTTATCTCTTCGACCCGCATCGGGATTGTGCTGTACGGCATGACATTATATCGTCCCTTCTCGAAGGAGATAATGGCCAGCTGGAAACAGGCATCAATAGTCCCTGGATGCAGAACATATCTTGATTCGCCGTCGATTGATCCGCTCTCTTGATCCAAACCGATGGTACTTGCTGCTGTATAATCCCGGCCATTGGAACTGACCTCTCCTAAGCGCTGAAAAGCGTGTCCATAAAAGACTCCAACCCGATCGAATGTCTTATACCATCTGTCGGGGTGAGTACGTTGATGAAGTTTCTTAATCACCTGTTGATGGCACTGTCTGGATACATTGAGCTTTGTCTTGCGAGGCGTTATATGGCCACTGCAATGGGTGGTCCAGTTATTGTCCAGAAGAGATTCGACAGTGAATGTAAACCAGTCGGATCCCTTATTACTTTGGCGCGACAATCGGGTCACCACTTCAATTCCATTGTCGGTATCTGGTATCACAAGCCCTTGCTGGAATTCAATGTTCTTCAAGCACGTGCCATTGCTCGGACTGAACAGTGTATCACTGATCTGCCTTAAGGCTTCGATTGCTATAGCAATGTACGCTGCACCGGGCAACAAAACCTCGCTTCCAACCTGCCACTTAAGTTAGATAAGAAGCAAGAATCTTAATGCCTTACTCACGCGATGGTCTCTCAGCCACGGCACATCTCGGAGCCGTAAAATATTCTTCCAGACATAGATCGTGTTTGAAAGCCCTGCAACTCGTCTGCCTAACAGGTCATGCCGAGGTTCTGATTGTTGGCGCTGCTCCTGGCTTAGTCGTGTCTCTCGCCAGTACTCCTTCGTATAGTTCCATTGGTAAGAGGGCAGGTCAACTAGTAGTCGTGGACCTGGCTTCTTGCACAAGTCGTGCATAATACCATGCCAGCGAACACTGTAGCCGGAGAGGAACAAACGGCCGGCGACTCGCAGCAAGTCATTGCAAGAGTCAGATCCTCTGATAATAGTCGGAATGTATTTGATTCTTTGCGTCAGGCTATTAGCCGATATTATTTGTTTCAGTGGTCCAGAAAGTGCCGAATGAGGTCCAATCTCGACAAAGTGACTCAACTGCTTCAGTTCTTCTATACTCTTGAGCTCGGTTATGGCTGCATGAAAGCGGACCCTATTGATGAGATTTTTCACCCAATACCTGGAGTTAATATCATTCTCGTAAACCTGTCTCCCCGTAACAGAAGATATCATTGGGACGCGGGAGAGCCGCTCTGAGGGAGCTGACGATCCAGCTTCGGAATCTGCCTCTCGAAGGAGTTGCTCATAAAGAGGAGCAATGGCTTTCATTGCAGGCGAGTGGTAGGGCCTTCCTGTTTTTAGCACCCTCACAAAAACCTCAGAGGCCTCAAGCTGCAATCTAAGTTTCTCAGTTGAACTCTCCGAGCCGCTGAGCGTCACGCTCTCGGGGGAGTTCTCGCATGCGATAACAACGTCTGTATCACGAATGTAAGGCTCGATCCTGTCCATGCCGACTCCGACAGCAAGCATCGAGCCTGCAGGGCCTTCTTGTGCAACTGCTTGGCCGCGATAAAAAGAGGTCGCAAAAGCTTCCTGGGCTGATAGCATACCTGCTGCATATGCTGCAGCAATCTCCCCAGAGGAATGCCCCACAACAGCAGATGGAGTGATTCCCCACTTCCTTAGCTGATCAACTATGGCAATCTGGAATGCTGTACACAATGGCTGTGCAATATCCGGCTCGGCAATGTGTTCTGAGTCGATGTTTCCGACTAAGGCCTCCTCAATGGTCCATCTTACCGGCGGCTTTAATGTTCGTAGATACTGATCCAGGGATCTGATAGTTATCTTGAACATGGATAGAGTGTGCATAGCGTCTCTTCCCATGCCAACCCACTGGGCACCCTGTCCCGTGAAGACGAAGGCAACCGGACCAGAAGATTCTGCCACTCCAAATTCCATGCTTTGCTCGCTGAAGCTCGGTGTTTCTTTATTTTCACGAGCAATGGTGAAGGCTCTATGGGTAAAGTGTGTTCGACGGCAATTGAGTGTGTAGGCCACATCTTGGAGGTGATGATTGTCGACAACACAAGCGTGTGCCTCGATATTCTTCTCCAGTGTAGCTCGATCGTGTGCTGTGAAACATACCAAAGCCCTGCTAGGGCTTGAGCTCTCATGCCCTGTTTGTACTCTTGTCTGTCCATGGTCGGACTGCGCTGCCTCCAGTATCAGATGGCCGTTGGTGCCACCATATCCGAAGGACGATACCCCAACCCGCCGGGTAAGGGGGCTCTTCGGCCACAATATCGTATCCACATTTACTTTAACATTCCATTCTTCCTCCTTGACTAGTAACTGTTAGACTTGACTGTGCCTACTCATTTGTAAAGGTATGGTGTACGAACGAGCCGGATTGAGTGTCTTGAGCCCCGCTACTCCAGGGATGACACCGGATTCTACCATCAGAGCCGCCTTGATCACAGCAAATATACCACTGGCAGCTTCACTATGGCCAATATTCGCTTTTATCTTTTAATAAAATATTATAGTTTCAGTTTTTCCGCATGCCTTAGAAGGATTTGCAGGAGAAACTCACAGCTCCCAGCAGCAGAGGCTGCTCGCGACTCCGTCTTTCGTTCATTCCGTTCGAAATAGCTTTGACTTCTATGGGATCGCCAACTGGTGTGCCAGTCCCTAAGAAGGTTTCAGCACCTCTTTGCGTTCTGCAATCCATTACTCGTGTTTACCATGGCATTCAACATAAACTGTGTCCGTTGGATCTAAGCCGGCCCTTTTGTAAGCAGCACGAAGGACTCTTTCCTGTCCCTCTAGGCTTGGATGGGTAATCCCTTGGTTCGTCACTTCGCCGTTTCTATATCGGTCAGTCACTCATTACCTGTCTTGGGGCCCTGAACTCTCTCACGTATTTAGCGCTGAGCCACGAATAACAGCACGAATCGGAGTACCATCGCGAACCGCATCACTGAGCCTGCGTAGATAGATGGCGCCTGCTCCTTCGGCACGGCCATATCCGTCTGCTGCAGCATCAAATGTGTGACAGGTGGACGTTGGTGATAGGATTCCCAGCTTAGCGGTATTCATGTGTTGATCTACTGAAATGATTAGATTCACACCTCCCGCAATTGCGGCGTCGCATTCGCCTGTCTGAAGAGCCAGGCATGCCTGGTGGATAGCAGTCATAGACGAAGAACAAGCGCTATTGATCACGGCGCTAGGATTGTCTGTCAGGTTTGCCACGATTTAGACGCATAGTATAATCATCACTCACCTTGGCCCACGCAGATCGAAGATGTTACACACTCTCGCGCTAAGAAGACCAGGATCAGTTCCTGTCGCTGCATACTCATGGCGAAAGTCCGGTTCGCGATGGAGCATTTGTTGGTAATCTGATGTGAAGCAGCCCACAAACACCCCAATATCTTTCCCGGCAACATCTTCCAATCTCAGGCCGGCGTTTTCGAGACATTCATATGTAACTTCGAGTATGCGCCGTTGCTGTGGATCCAACCACATGGCCTCAACCGGCGTCATACCGAAAAAGCTAGGATCGAAGTCATGAGGACTGCCGTCAAGGAAGTAACCGCCACGAACATTGAGACTACCGGGTCTGTTCAGGTTTTTGTGGTAAAACGCATCGATCTTGAACCGACTTTCGGGCACAGTTGGTGTCCGGACGGATGTTTTGTTGACCAGGGCGTCCCAGAGTCTGGAAGGGGACGTAATAGATCCGGGAAGACGACAGGCTATGGATAAATCAGTATACGAAATATTCTGTGGGGGTGCATATTCATACTTACCCATCCCTACAATGGCAATCGGCTCGAAGGAGACATGGTCCCCGGGACTGCCATTTGCAGTCGAGGAGCCCATAACTGAGATATGGATGGAACTCGCTAATGTGGTATGGAAGATGTTGAGATAGGCTTTCGGTCTGGGTGTGGTTTCATCAAGAATTCTTTTGTGTGCAGAGTTTCTGAAAAACAGGGATGAGAAACTTATATCCTTCAAGGCGAGTCCCGCTCTGCCATCACTCGCCTCACACAGGTACTATGGTGCAGCGCACGACTCAAGCTTTAATGTTCTTCAGTCAACGGCCCTTACTGGGGAAGGTCCAACTCTGAGTTTAGTCCACAACATCCACATTCCGCACCTTGCCGTATCAGTATCCACCGTTCCTCTCTCTCGCAGGCTGGTTGGTTTGATGGATGACATGCGTTCAATGAAAGCGATAGTTTAACATGACTCAGTCCAACAGTAAAAAAAGTTTCATAGTTAACTGCCATTGATTAAGTGGTTTCACAAGGAAACAGACGAGGTACATACTTTTGAACGTCAGCGTCCTCTGCAGTAGAAAAGATGGCGTAGACGCCGGTCCCTTAGGAATGATCATCGCGTATATGCGAAAAGAAACAAGGCACATCCCTAGTTTCGCCACTATATAAGGTGCCATAATCCGACTGGTAGGGGTATCATTTCCCAGTCACGCTCATGGGCTTGATGGATTCCTTGAGTATGTGGCAGGGCCTTCGAATAACGTTGGTGAATGAGGCTCACACTTACTTGAAATCTGGATTCATGATACTCCTTGCATTCTTCATGCACATGGCTACTTTAGGCAGTTCAGATCCACGTGGCAGCTGCCCTTTCGAGGTGCAATTCCACATTGAGGTTGCCAATGACAGGCACTTACAGATCTCAATGGCCAAATAAGTCTTTGGACCTCACACACAGAAAGGTCACAGGGGGTGCTGAAATGGGACATGGTCCAATCCGACGGCCAATATGCTATGGGTTGGCGGGATGCTCAAGCATATCATCATTGCCGAGAACATAATATAGAGTGAATATGCACCAGACCCCTTTCCGAGCTGTATACATTTTCTAGAGGTGACCACCTAGTTGGTAGGTGCCATTTTCGTTGTATTGTCTTGCCGGCGATGTCCACTGTGCCTGATAAGTCCCTGGTTGTTGATAGCAAAGAGGAAATCTTGAATAACATTTTCAATTCGAAGCAGCTAAGTGGAGATTGACTACATTTGGAGGTTCAACTTCGATTCTTGGCTTCTTTCTTGACATGCTGGTCACCTGACACTCTGTCTTTTTGCATTGCTTTCCTTCTTGGCCGCACTTTCCATCTTCCGTACTCATCTTCCGGCTGAAACTCTCAGCCCCTTGTTTCCATCAATAGCTACAGACATAGGCACAACGATATAGCCAAGGTGAAATTCATGCGGTAGTCATTACGTTGACTCGCATGAACACCCAGAGAAGCACATAGAAGAAAGTAAACTCTGGCAGTCAGTACCTTTGCAGTCATCAGCGCACTACCTTACTAATTATAGTTACGCCTATCACCTTGTCCATCCGTGTATTTGGTACATCTATGTGACACAAAAAAGAACGCTGATATGCAGCAAGACGCACGATTCTCTCCAGGAACCTTGTTAAATCTGGTTGTTGTAGAGCCTCGTCAGGGAAGCACCAGAACGGTGTTTACATTCGCCACCTTAACCTGTTATCTAGCTGATATTGTTACACATGATACACCAGACATGGATTCGCGTCCCGCTTAGCAGATGCAGAAGCTTAAACAGATCTCCACAATTAGTCTCACGTGGGAGGACAATCCCTACTACAGGCATGCTGGTTCAAGGATTAACCGTGTGACATCACATAGAAGCCAGTCCGATTGGAGAACCAGAGGTAAATGATGACGAGCAGAAGACGACTGGTTGTAAGTATGCTATCATTATCATCCAAGCGGACACGAGATGAGTGCTGCAATTGAACCTAAACATTAAGTACCACGATCAATCGGATCAAACCCTAGCAACATGACTTCATTCGATCCTTCCACCAAAAGTACCAGCCCTATACGAACAATCCATGCATAACCGGACGTCAGCCCACTTCGTAGTCACAGTACTATAGGATCTGTGGATATCTACAATCTCCTACCGTTATACACATTAGCATCCTAACAATGTCAACGTTCTCGCCAACTGAGATAACCATTAATCTTGCGACCGGTATTCACCTATATCAGCCAGAATAGGAGTTTGAAATGGCTCTAATAATGTTATATGCAATGTACGTTTACACGAATATGCTCCCACAAAATTACAACTGCAGTGGGAATCTAAATGATCGATAGGAATAACGAACCAGTTATACAAATGGGAATACTCACCTTCCTCCTTCTAATCCCTCCATCTCTTCCACAATCCCAGTATACCAAGTTAGCACCTGCAATAGTATAATGAAACAACATTCCCTAACTTTTGCATCTCCATCATGAAACCCCAAATCACAAAGCACATTTTAGACCAACTTTCCCCCACAAAACGAACCCGAAGAAAGAGGCGTCAAACTACACATACACACACATACTACACACACATACAACCCCCCCTCCATGAAAGTCAACCATTCCAACAAGAACAACCCACAATCAGGTACCATCACCGCGCACAAGCACACCAAACAAACCACTACTTACTCTTAAAGAAACAATCCACAATAACCCCACCACACCCCTCCACAAGCATCAAACTGAATCCCCCCTCCCCCTGCACTACATTTTCCCGGACTCGGTAGATGTCAAAACACCCCCAGCCCGAGCTCACAATTCTGACCCCGAACCGAGGTGCATCATACACAACATCCCATTGCATGACAAACCAATTCCAAATCCACTAGTATATGCAGCATAAACGAATAAATGAAATGAATACCCCTCACTAATCACAAAAGTCGTATAACACCCCTAATCGAGCAGACCCCTCCGAAACTAATTCCCGAGCAACAGAAACCCGATGCTACTCCGTACTTTCCAAGTGAGGTGAATGACACCCGGGACGTTCCGAGTAGCCAAGCCCCAACCCAGCCCGCTTCGGGAACCGGAACGGAAATGTAATAAGGATTGTGTCTAATTGCTCGGCTCGAAAGCAAGCCACTACCACCACCAGTTAATTATCCAACGCTCGGGGATCTCGTACACACGGGATGGATGGGAGTTGGATCGGAAGGTTCCGCTGAGATACTCGGGTGGTTTTATTGGACGAGGACCCGAGATTACTTAGTACTTTGTACTACAATTACTTTACTTACTTACTTACCCTTTTTCTGCTCATTTGTGAAGGTTCGTTCGGATGGGAATAATGACAAAGGAAAATTGAGTTTCTCGAGTCCGACCGCACGCGGCGACAATGTCGTCACGACTCGCTACCAAAGTTTTTCGAGAATGGTACATAATTAGGAAATGCTTCGACGGTTAAGTTTTTACTACTACTCGTGACGAAGTTTATTGGGTTACTGGGAACGATCATTGGGTGGGTGGGAAAGAAACCGGCTGCAACATTGCAGGGTCGTAGTAGATTCCATGTAACCAAAATCAAAATCAGACTCAAAGCAAAAGTCTAAAGTAACCCGAACCTATCCAATCCATCTAACCAGCCCAGTGGAAGAGACATCATTGGTATGTGAAATGTGTATGTGAACATGAGAGGGAGAGAAAAAAAGAAAGTGACGCTGCATGGCCTTGCATTGCCTAGCATGCATGTGCACGTTCGTCCCATGGGTAAGAAAGCAAAAAACCCAGTCTAAAAGAGTCTCCAAAAAAAAAAAATTCCAAAACAAAATCAGTCGACTCGCTGATGGCGATTTTTTGTGGCCCAGGAGCGACGATGGATATCAATAGTCCAAACCCGTAAGCCGTAACATGCAAAGAAAATGTCTAACATCGATCAAGATGTGAACAAAATGGGTGAAAAAGAGGTGTGGGGAGAAAGGAATAAGCAAGCGCCGATTTTTAATGCGTTTACTCGACAGCAGAGGCACCGTCGCCGTGGAGGACGGGGTTGACCTTGGGGTTCCACTTGAACTTGAAGTCCTGGCCGAGCTCCTTGCGGACGGCGGCCTTGACAGCCTCCAGGACGTTGGGGAAGACACCGAAGTTGGCCGGGTTGTTGTCGTCGTTGTCCTTGCCCTGGAAGACACCGGTGCGCACCAGACAGGTGTTCCAGCCGTGCATGTTACCACCGCAGATGTCGGAGGCCGGGTTGTCACCGACCATGTAGATGTTCTCGGGCAGGCGGTTCTCGTTGTGGATCTGCTCCATCCAGGCCTTCATGACCTCATCGGCGTAGGTGTAAGTGGCGCGCTCGGGCTTGCCGTAGACGACACGCTCCAGGTCGACACCGGTGAGGGCCTTGTACTGAGCCTCAATGGAGATACGGAAGAGACCCTGGGTCAGACGGGGGGGACCCTTGTGGTCGGTAGGGAAGACCAGGTCACCCTGGGAGAAGTAGACCGGGATGCGGGAGGCAACGGGGTCCTTGGCGCGGGTCAGCAACTTTCCGTCCTCAGCCAGGAGGAGATCCATGATGAGCTGCATGTCAGTGGCGTAGTCGCGGGAGTCGGCGAACACCAGGATAGCATCGAACTTGATCTTAGAGAAGTCGCGGGGCTTGGCCTGGAGACGGTCCTCCTCGTGGAAGCAGCCCCAGGGGGAGATGGTTTGGTCCCAGGCGAGGATATCCTTGGGATGGATGACGTTCTTGAAGCCGTAGTTCTCAGCGACCTTGCGGATCTTCTGGCCCTCACCACCGCAGACCAGGACGGTTTCGTAGTACTCGGCCAACGCCTGCATTGGGGTGTGAGACTGGATGAACTGGTCGGTGGAGATGGGGCAGCCAAGGACCTCGGTGAGCTGGGCGCAGCGCTCATCCTCAGTCTTACCACCACCGTTGGTCAGGAGAATGTAAGGGATCTTGATGCCCAGCTCGTTGTCACCGTTGAGCATGGCGAGGGCCTCCTTGGCCTCGGGAATGGCCTCGTTACCGTGGGCCAAGACACCATCGATATCGAAAGCGAAGGCCATGTTCTTGGCAGCAGCAACCTTCTCCTTGGACATGTCCTGGACCTGAGAGGCCAGGATGTCGCGGGAAACATCCGCAGTGACCACCGAGGAAAGACGGGAGACACGGGGAGATCTGGGGATGGGCAGGGAAGTGCCGAAGGAGTTGCGGGAACCACGACGGTCCCGGGAGGAGGGAGCAAAGCTCAGGTTGTGCATGTACTGAGCAGCATCGCTGATGGAGCTGCGAGTAGCGGGGATCTCAACGGTGTTGCCAGCATCGTTAGGGATGGGCAGAGAGCCAGCAGCGCTACCACGAGCATCCCGGGGGGAGCGGGCACCCGGGGCAGGGGCAGCGTCCACGGCAAAGTCGGCGTCGTCAAAGCGAGGCATGATGAATTTCTGGGAAGGGATTGAGGTTGTGGAGGTTGTTCAATTAAGAGAAACAAAGGTGGGTGAGGATATAAGAGGAGGGAGAGGGAGGAAGACTAAGATAAGATAGGATAGGATGATATCACTCGGAGACGAAAACAGGAAGACAACCAACGGGCGTCACCTGCAGGCAATTGTCACCGGAGGAAGATGGAAGAGGAAGATGATGTGAAAGAGAAGGATGAAGATGGAAAAGAAAGAGAAGGGAGGCGAAGAGGACCATATATAACAAGCTTTCTTCAGCAGAGTACAGTGGCGGTAAGGTCCAGCGGACGAGGGGGAGAAGGCGTACCACCGACAAGGAGGTGTTTATCCTGGGTTGCAGCCATACGGAGACAGCGCTTCGGCCAAATCAGCCATCTGGATCCACCGACTGGGTTGGGAGGGGCGTATCATCATCCCTAGGAATTCTCGTCGTCATTATTTTACGGGGAGGTGATTAGCTGCGACATTTCGCAGTTTGCTGAAGGGAGCGGAGCCAACAATGGCAGCTCGATGGATGCAGTTTAGCTGCTCGTAGCAAGTAAGAATAACTGGACTTTACAAAAATGAAGTCCACTACTTTTCTAGGCAAGGTTGTGGGTGGAGCTGTGTGGTAATCTTTCAAGACTGTGACCGCTGGACCCTGGCTGGTGGTAATTTATGACATGCTCAATACTACGACATACGCAGACACACACACACACACATATACCAAGACACATAAGACACACACGCACAAATGCTCAATGCCATTCCTGTGCAGGTATCCAAGTTACTACTTTCGGGACAGATTCGGGGGTTTTCTGAGGCATTAAACATCCATCCCACACCAAGTGTCCCACTCTTCACACCACTTTTACTGCCGGCGCAGCATCGTGGCTGCAGATGGCAGCCTGAACTGCCCACCGCGGCGGGGCGGGAGGGCAACTGGGGAGTGGCATCACCGGATTCTTCGAAAGGTGATTGGACAGGCTGGAAATTTGTTCGCAGGACGAACCACCCAAGAAGGAAGAAGCTGCTGCAAGTTGAGTGGACAGGAGGGGGTGCCAGCGGGACTCTTGATGGGGAGTGATTCGTCGCTACGGGCATTCCACTCACGAACGAGCCACAGATCGCTGGAGCCGATGACGATCGAGCGGGCGGCGGCGGGTCAAACGCTCGCGCCGTTTCGAAACCAATACACCCAGTGATGTCATGGGCTCCATGTTCTCGTTTTTTTGGTAATTGCAATTTCCCCGTCTGGATGGGGAATCGGAATGAATTCAATGGATCCAGAAAAA